TGATGGTCTTGGCGAGCCCCTGCAAGATAGACAAACGAAAATGTGAGGGGGTTCAGGGATAAACACAATCCACACCAAAACGTGATCAACCTACCTCGATATGTGACCGGATAGAACCCTCCAAGAGGGGATGAAACTCTTGGGAAGTCGTACAGGTGAGGTCGCCTGGTGGGAGGATTGATGAAGCATAATCCACGACCGGGAAGCCTTCATGCACAATCGAGGCACTCGAAGATGGGAAGGCGTAAGTAACTGTATGCTGGGTGTCATGGCTGCTCCGTTCGGCCATCCTCTCATCTGCACCCTCATGTACCTGCTCAGCGGAAGGAAACTTGGGGGCGACCTTGGCCTTCTTCGAGACTCGTTCCCCTCGGCCCGGGGAGGAGGCTCCGCGCTCTTTCCCCGCAACCGTCTTGGGGGCCACATCAACAACGGCGGGGCAGGGCTCCTCCTCCTCCTCCTCCTCATCGGACCCATCCAATTTGACTAGCAGATCGACGAGTCCGCCCTTGTGCTTCTCCTGCACCGGCGTAGTTGGCCGAGGCCCGAAGGTAACTCTCACCCTTCTTGGAGGGGCGGCTCCGTACCCTTTCCCCTTTCCAGCCGTTGCTGCCACAGGAACGATGACTTGTTGAGGCTCCTCCTCTTCATCGGATTCCGCCTCAACAACGAGCTTCTCAGGCACAGCTGCAGAAAAAAATGTGAGGATAAGCAGAATAAAATACAAAGTAGCAAACATAGACCAGACAGATGACAGTCACCTAAATATGAGCTGATGGAGTGGGGACCGCCCGCGGACAATATCTCGATGGAGGACTTGAGACCAGGGGAGAGAGCGACTCGGTCACACTTCCGAACCCGTTCACCCCACTGAGGCAGAGGGGACGGGAGGTTGGGGTCGGATACCCATATCCATCTCTTCTTCCACCCTTTCCCTGAACGGGGGTAACCCGATCGAAACAGTTTGCTCACCGGCCTCTGGGAGAGTAAGGCGAAAAAGCTAGAAGCACGCCACTGGAAGCAGCTGAAAAACAGATCAATCGTGGGTGTGAGGCCCACATCCTCACACCGCGCCACAAAAGCGGCAACGAACATATGAGCCGCCGGAGCCAATTGACCCGGGGCCACACCCAAAAAGTGAAGGAACCGAACCAGGAAGGGGTGCAGTGGCACGGCCATCCCTAACTCCAGTGAGCGGATATGGACCCCGAAATAGGGGGCTGGTGGATCGCTCAATACGTCAGTGGCCACCGGGGGGTTCCAACAAACAATTATCACCAATCAGACTATATGCTATGACGAGATCCCCTTCTGTGACGCGAGAAGGGAGATCCGGTATTCCGCTGCTATCAAGGTCCCACCAGGAATCCAAGTCCACCCGAGTATCAGAATCATCGTCAGAGTCTGGTACGTTCACAGGTTGGATGCACGCTCTGTCTAGAACATTGAGGGGTCGTCCCTCAGAAATGGCAACCAGTCTAGCTGGAGCCAACTCAGGGAGAACATCAGCTTGCCGTCCACTAGTAACACCCGCATGCATACGTGGCCGAGGGTCGTGGCTGACCCGCATGGGTCTCACGGCCGCCCCGCGCTCTGCTCCAATAATAGCCGATGATCCCGAATCTACATGATCGTTGTTTTCATGGGGTGAGCGTCCATCGTCTTGCATGGTCAGATTGGGGAGATCGCACCTGCACCTCAAAAATAAAAATAAAATGATAAAGTGACAAGTTTGCCAATCAACATGGAATGCATCAAGCAGGGGGTGCCCGCCTTGGTCGCCTAGGGGAAGGGCAATGCCAGCCAGCAGTGGGACGGCCACCGGCTTCCTAAGCAAAGTCTACCGGCAGAGTGGCGGCCGCCGGTCCGATCCCCAACCAACATTGCTCGGCCAAGGTGATACCTAGCTCCATGGGGAACCGTACATATGGGCATTAGCTTGCCTCAACCCTAGTTCCTTCGAGGCCCGACAGCAGCCGGCCAAGAAAGGGACGGTGCCGCCCAACTTGGACTCGGGGAACCACCTGGCCGCTCGGCTTCCTACGCAACGATGGTTGGCAGCGGATGAACAACATGGACGCCCGTGAGAAGGACAGATCCATCCGGCCCGAGGGCGCTTGGTCACCCAGCCGTCTAGCCACCAACCTCTTGGGCGACACCGTCCGACAATGGGGTGGCCGCCGATCCCTATAGCGTGCGCCGGCCACCACAGGAGCCCAGGCCCGCCAGCCAGATTCACCGGGCTGCAGGGGCAATATCGGCGACCGGTGGGTGGCACAAGACAGCCCGCCAATCCCTGTAGCACGCGCCGGCCACCACAGGAGCCCAGATCCGCCGGTCAGATTCGCCGGACTACAGGGGAGACATCGGCGACCGGTGGTTGGCACAGCAGAGGTCGACACGGGAGTCGCTCGGAGCAAGACGGCGGTCAACCCGGTCCCCTGGTTGACGGCGGCGGCGCTGGGGCGACGTGAGGAAGACGGACGCAGGTCGTGGGAGAGAAAGGAAAGAGAAGAAAGGAAAGAAAAAAGAAAGGAAAGAAAAAAGAAAGGAAAGAAAAGAAAAGGAAAGAAAAAAGAAGGAAAGAAAAGAAAAGGAAAGAAAAGAAAAGGGAGGAAAAATAAAATAAAGTCCAAAAATAATTTATGAAGTAATAAAAATGAATTTCAGGGATTTTTTGAAGCTGACTTAGATCCTGAAGTCTGGGAGAAAGCTTGCTGCTGGAATGCTAGAACGCTAAGGGAATTAATTTGGGGGCTTTTAAAGTTGGGTGCCTTATTCGAAATTTGGAAATCTCCATAAATTGTGGGATTGTCAGAATCCACAATTATGGCTCCCTGATATGTGAATATTTTTTAATGGGCAGTTGACCTGAACTACTCCCTCTTAGCCGAGTCTACTACTCGACTAAGGGAGTGGGGGACTCGTGATGGGGTTATGGGACCAGGCCCAGAGCCTAATCGGTCCAGGCCCCGAACTTGGACTAGCGGGCCCAAGCCCAGCAACCTAGAGCTCGAGTCGGCCCAACCAATCAGGGCAATCAAGGAGCGGAAGCCCAAGAGAGCCTGTCGACCAGCCCAGCGGGGAGCCTGCCTTCCAGCCCAGTGGGGAGCCCACCTTCCAGCCCAGTGGGGAGCCTGCCTTCCAGCCCAGTGGGGAGCCTGCCTTCCAGCCTAGCCAAGAGCCTACCGACCACCAGCCCCGCTGGGAGCCTGCGATCCAGCCCAACTGGGAGCCTGCGGTCCAGCCCAGGTGGGAGCCTGCCTCCAACCCATCGGGGAGCCTGCCTTCCAGCCTACCCGGGAGCCTGCCTCCAGCCCGGTGAGAAGCCTTCCTCCAGCCTAGCGGGAAGCCCACCGTCCAGTCCAGCAGGAGGGAGCTCAAGCGTCCAGCCTGCCAGCCAAGAAGAGTAACGGCCAACAATCAATGCGCTACTTAATTATGTGTTTAATTCCGTATTAATGTTGTAATTAATTTAGTCATTATTATGTTCGGCATTTACCATTTGTAATCGCCTATAAAAGGCAATTCGAATTTCAAATACAGATATGCTATTTCTGGCTAACTTTCTATATTCGTACTTTCCTAATTCTTACTTGAGTGTCGTACATAGCTTTCCTAAAAGCCTACGAGCGTCCTATTTTGGACCAACACGTAATTATGTAGCAAAATATTTCCTTTGATTTTTTTCTTCTTAACATCTTTTTTCATTAATTTTAATTTATGAAAATGTGCAATATAAATGATAAAATATGACTTAACGTCTCACCTTGCTTCTTCTTCTTCTTCTTCTTCTTCTTCTTCTTCTTCTTCTTCTTCTTCTTCTTCTTCTTCTTCTTCTTCTTCTTCTTCTTCTTCTTCTTCTTCTTCTTCTTCTTCTTCTTCTTCTTCTTCTTCTTCTTCTTCTTCTTCTTCTTCTTCTTCTTCTTCTTCTTCTTCTTCTTCTTCTTCTTCTTCTTCTTCTTCTTCTTCTTCTTCTTCTTCTTCTTCTTCTTTTTCTCTCTAATCAGCCTTCCTTTATATTACCTCCATCTCTCTCAACTTTGCCAAATTATGTTGAGTAAGAAATTAAAAAAGTAAAATTGTGTAATTGAGGTTTGTGCGGAAGAGAGATAAATGAGCTAGGACACAAATTTATTGTTTTAAAAGAAAGTGGTAAAGTTTTTGGAACAAAAAAAAAGTTGACAAAGTCTAGTGAGAAAGAGAGGGAAGCAAAAAAGGATGGGGTGAAAAGGATAAACAACAAAACAATTACTTCTCACATAGTGAAAGGGGGGAAAAATAAAAAGGGGGAATAGAAAGAAATAAAAATTTGAAATAAAATAAATAAAATTTTAAAAGATAATTCAATTGATTATAGATATAGCCATCAAATTAAATGAGTCGAAATTTATAGGGCTAGCCCATTTCATGGTGGGTTAGAGTTATCATTTTAAACCCGATTAACTCACCGGTTTCGTGGATCAACATGCATAGGTTGTGGGTTGATCATACATGTTGCGATTTGGTCAAAATACGAACATCTAATCTTGACTTTCATTGTCTTAAATATTGATCATTTACTACCAAAATTATTTGCCATTATATACTTATAAATTTTACAACCCTCATTGAACTACTATTTCTATAATAATTAGTCAAATAAATTAATTCAACATCTTTTTGATGTTGTAGTTGAAAATACTCCGTAATTTTTTTAACAATTAGTAGTCATTGCATACAAATATATGCTCAAAACATCTAATAGTATCCTTATTTTATACAATGATTTCTTTTGATAAATATCATCTAATAGTTATCAAATATTAGTATAACTATGATTTAATAATATTTGTTAACTAAACTTATTAAGTATTGTATACTTAGTACTTTGATTTCTTTTATTTCCTTTTATTAATGCACACCCATATATATATACATACACATATATACAGATAAGATATCAAATACAAACCATGTTTAAAATACTAACATACAAACTCAATAATCAGGGCTGTCTCCAGGATTTTTGGTGCCCCAGACAAAAATGACTAATGAGATCAAATAGTACTTCAAATTAATAACATAATTAAATATGAAGTAATGTAAAAAGAAATACTTGACTTAAAATTGATATAAAGTATGTGAAAATATAAATTCTTCGAAGAAATAAATAAAATTATAAAAGTACTACCTAATAACCTATTCTTCTTGCTTTTTGATGTGCAAAATTTGTAAGTACATCACCACAATCAAGAGTAGATAACACTTTTTTTCAATAGATAGCATAGCGAGCCCGCTTAACCTCTCTTGTGACATTGTTGAGCGTAGATAATTCTTTATTAACTTCAACTTTGAAAAACTTCTTTCGGCAGATGCAACTGTCACGGGAATAGTTAACAAAATTCTGTAAGCAACCCAAGCATGCGGAAAAGAAATATGCATCTCTCTAATGTACTCCATCACTTCAATGACTTTTTTTTATCTTCAGGCAGTGACTTGGTTAACAATTGAAGTTCCGAAAATAACTCAATTGAATCAATATCGCAATCATCCCCATGCTTCAAAAAATTCCCAAGGGTATCACAAGAACAAGCCAATTCTTCATCACTTATTGTCCTTAGCTTACTCAGATTATACAAGAATCCAAAAGTTTCTTTATATTTCTGTAATTGCTGAAATCTAGTTTCCAAAGACGAAATAGCATTATCAAAAACTACTAAGAAATATGCTCCTCTAAACACATCTTCCGCTGACTTCATTGGCTCATCAATTGCTTTCTCATCAAAAAACTTCTTTTTGGTTCGAATACGGATGTCACGAAATCGAGGCTCAATGTGTAAATCAATGGCAATATTTTGAGCTTCAATTTTGGCTTTTTCAAACCATTCTTCTCTATATTCTTTGAAAAGTAAAATCAATCCTTTCAAAAGATTTAAAGCCACACCAACATCCATATCTCTTTGTTGAAGCAGTTTGCTGATTTTGTTCACTTTGTTTAATACCTCATACCAAATTACCATACTAACAATAAAATCAAAGTTCATTTCATATTCAAACAAGGACTTAGCATCACTCACAGTGCTAGCATCATTACTACTTTTCATCAAATGCTCCAATGCTTGTTGTATTTGTGGTGCCTGAAATCTGATTGCTCTAACGCTAGCAATACGACTTTCCCAACGTGTATCCGACCACGACTTTAGGGTAAGACCCTTTCCATCACGATCTTTGACAAATGTTTTGAAAATCTCCCATCTTTTTGTTGAACCTGAAATTATTAATGGTCACAACATATTATTAATCAATAATGAAATCATAACATTTATATATACAAACATAAGTAAATAAATAAATAAATAAATTAATAAGTAACTAAATAATAAACGAGCTAATAGATAGATGGAGATGCACCTGAAAATAATTTGTAAATTCGTTGTACAGCATCAAAGAAAGTTTTTGCTTGTGAACAACTCAATGCCATGTCACAGAGGGAAAGGTTAAGAGAATGACAACTACATGGCGTGTAAAATGCTCTAGGATATTCTTTTAGCACTCTAGCTTGCACACCTTTATTGCCCCCTTTCATGTTTGAACCATTGTCATAACCTTGTCCTCTCATATTACTGAAATCAAGTTCATGGGTCTGAAGTAAGCACTTAAGCTCATCAAAGAGAGCCTCTCCCGTTGTCTCAACTACCTTCACAAATGTAATGAAAAACTCTTCAATTCTTACCGGAGTAGTAGACACATTGACACATCTTATTATAAGTGTCATTTGCTCCTCATGACTCACATCTGGCGTGCAATCAAGAATAATGGAGAAATATTTTGAATCTCTAACAACTTGAATGATCTTCTTTTTTACTTCACCTGCTAATAATTGTATCATCTCGTTTTGAATATTATGACCAAGATAATGATTCCGAATCTCTTTCTTGCGTATACGCCTAAGGTGTTCTTCCATTATTGGATCAAACTCGTAAATCATATTGATGATCTTGAGAAAGTTTCCGTTTTTCTCATCTCCAATCTTTTCATTATCACCTCAAAATGCAATATTACAAGTAGCAAGAGTTTTAACAACACTCATGATTCTTTTCAACACAGCTCTCCAATACTCCTTCTCTTTATCAATCACTCTTTCCCGAAAAGCAACAATGGTTGTCTTCTTTTTCAGTCTTATTTCTGCTTCTCTCCAAACTTCAGTGCTACGAATATGGTCATTGCTCAACTCATGTTCTGCAAGTCTACGATGTATATTGTGCCAATCGTTATACCCTTCACCTAGGGTAGTCAATGGGCTTGATACTCCACCTTTCTTAAACAAGACACAACAAAAACAAAAGACTTTGTTTTTTGAAATTGAATACACTAACCATGGGCGGTCATATTTTTCACCATTTGTCAAGCACCGAGTATAGTGTTTGTCACTAAAACTCCGTTTTTTATCAACGGGGTAATCATGACCAGTAATTCTTATTGGCCCCTTGTCAACTAGAAAATCTTTTTCTTTTTGTGAAATAGGTACTTTCCAGTTACCTGGATCACATAACTCGGTCATATCAAGAATAACAGGCAACACATCTACAATATCATTCTCAACATCAACATCCGCCTCTTCATCATCTAAAACACATCTACCCTCATCCTTGTTTTCGTTTTTGTTCTCAAGTTGAACACCAGTATTTTCATTCTCATCTTTATCATTTGCCTCGAGATTTTTGTTTGAGGTCGATGGAGAAGGATTTATTTTTACATACCTATCCATGGAACCCGCAAAAGATTGGACTTCTTCATCTTTTCTTTTCTTTATTTTTCTCTTTGAAGCCCCTGACTCTTGTTTCCTTTTTCCCGTCATAGTAGACACTACAAAATAATAATTTAGCACTAATTATTAGGTATATTATGGAAAGACCGTCTCAAAACAATTTCAGACTAAATTTGATAACCGAATAACTTTAAAACAATTAAAAGATATATATATATATATATATATATATATATAATATAACACAAAATTTCAAGTTTAATACAACTCATAAATAATAATTAATAAATTTGATGTAGAATAAGTTATTTACCTGGTTTGCAGACTGGTTAGTCAGCTACCGTCACGACGTCCGTTGAGACTCCGCGAGTTCCGCACTTCCGCCTTCGTATGGTATGCTTCGGACTTTTAAAATTTTAATTTACTTAATAGCTACTAGGGCTAAGTAGGTTACTAGGGTAATAGACTAAATGACTAATAGAGTTATAGAGTACTATTTCTAATTTCCTAATTCCTATTGGGCCATCCGGCCAGGCAGCAGCCCTTCCATAACCCATTATTGATGTACTTGTCAATATATTAATATATTATTATTTGATTTGATTTTTTTTGTAGACTTTGACATTTGACTATTCCAATTCCTAACTACTCCACTAGTCCAGGTTGTCCCGCCGCTAAAGCCTAAAGGCGTAACTTACGAGTATTACTATATTAATATATTTATACATATAATAATAACAGCTCTTCCATTAAAAAAGGGTGCCCCTTGGGAGTGGTGTCCTAGGCCACTGCCTAGGTGCCTAGCCCCCATGGCCGGCTCTGTCAATAATATGCAACACTTTGAACTTTAACATGCAATACAAATAAAGTAAAATTATTTGAATGCAGGTTGGATATGTTATGTGATTTGATTGTAATACGGGTGATAAGTGATTTGATTGAGAGCTAATATGTAGATGTGGTTGAAGTGGCCAATTGTGAAAATTGGTGAGTTCACACTTTGATTGTGAGTTTAATATGGTAGCAATAAATAGCACTTGTAATACTAAAATGAATCACACGGTGGTATGCAAGAAGTTAATTTGGTAATGTATTATATTTAAACAAATTCGAATGTTTATTGACTCTGTTGAAAGATGATTTATAGGGAAGATTAAAGAGGTGCTTTGCTGCAGGTTAACACCACTTGTAATACCAAAACAAGTGCACACGGTGTCATGCAAGAAGTTAACATGGTAATATATATTTAAATAAATGCAAATATTTTGAAGGCATTTATTTAGGCTACATATTGCAGTCAATTATGTTAAATATGGTAATATGGTAATATACTTTCCAAAAATACATACTGCATAGGTAGTGATGTAGAGAAAAAAAGGCAGTGATTTAGGCTACATATTGCAGTCCATTATGTCAAAGTGGGTGATGCAGCTAAATTGATACTACGCATTAAAGTACCATGAATATGGTAATACTTTCCAAAAATACATACACGTTCAAGACACCAATAAGAACTGTCCGAGATGTGGCTAAGAATGATTAAAAATTGACCTTTGGCAATGGTGAATATAAGAATGACACGTGGTAATGGTAAACATAAGAATGCCACATGGCAATTATGACCTTTGAATGTATAATATATATAATATAGATATAGATATAGATATAGATATAGATATAGATATAGATATAGATATAGATATAGATATAGATATAGATATAGATATAGAGGGAGCGGTTCTGGTAAGAATGGACTCCCAGGAGAGAAATGAGAACGAATCTGGACCGTTGGATTGTATTATGTGGATCTGGATTGTGCATTTGGTGAAACTGAAATGTGCATCAGATGATATTGAAATGTGCAGAATAAAAATTTAAACTAAAGTGTGCATTAGGTGAAATTGAAATGTGCGAAATAAAAGGTACAAAAATAACATCACATCGTGTCTTTTATTTCCGCACATTTCAGTTTCACCTAGTGCACATTTCAATTTCACATAATGCACAATTCAGCTTCACATAATGTCACTGTATCGTACCATTTGTGCTGCACATTTCAATTTCACCTAATGCACATTACATTTTCATCTAATGCACATTGAATTTCACTTACAACAAATCTAACGGTCCAGATTCATTCTCATTTCTCTCCTAAGATCATGTTCTTATTTGAACCAAAACCTAGATATAGATATAGATATAGATATAGATATAGATATATATATAGATATAGATATAGATATAGATATAGATATAGATATAGATATAGATATAGATATTGATATAGATATAGATATAGATATAAATATATAGATATAGATATAGATATAGATATAGATATAGATATAGATATAGATATAGACATAGACATAGATATAGATATAGCTATAGATATAGATATAGATATAGATATAGATGATATAGATATATATGTCATTTATAGTGTTATACACCTCTTTTGTACACACCACATAATTGTGTGTACACATACAACTCATTTTGAAGCTTCTATGTACACACGCAACTAGCTAGGCGATGTGCACAATAAAAGTATTCAAAAAAATGTACAGGTAGCATAACTCTGTAAACTTCTTTATGGTCGAGGCATAATTGATAATCTTACTTCTCTGGTCCTCACTTTAGTGGATGCTTACAAGTGGGGTTGTAAACGAATCAAATAATTTGTGCTCGATTCGCGATTTGAATTCGTATAAGACGATTCAAATTCGGAAAATTCAAATACAAATAAGAATATTAAATTTGATTCGAGTTGTTATCAAATACAAATAAGAATATTTGTGTATTCAATTCAAATATTAATCAAATATATTCGATTAATAATAATGGTAATATTAATGTCAATATTCATAATAATAGTAATAACACTATAATAACTTTTAAAAGATGGCAATTACATCAAAGTGTAGTCTACATATACATTTTTTGCATACAGATTCCAAGCCCTTTTGCAATAAATCAAAATATAAATATGAATACAAATCAATTTTTTGGTTCAAATGTCTTTCAAATACAATACAAATAACTATGTATTAGATTTGAAGAATAAAATTAGAGTTGTTTGACTTTGATATATACAATTATCAACTTATTTTACACATTATAACTATAATTTCTAATATTTGTGTGTTAGTGTTTATTTCAAAAAGTTTGAAATAGATTTATATTAATTAATCATAAAAGTAATTCACTTTAGTATATGGTACACCATCTAAAAATGCATTGATCCATTAAATTTTAATTCTAAAAACACATATTAAGTCACAGCATGCATTTACAACATAAAAAATAAGGAGTATAAAAAAATTATTTTAGAGTAATATTTGACTAATATTTAACCTATGTTCAAATCGATTCGATATTCGTATATGAATCATTAACTATTCATGTTGTTAAACAAATACAAATACAAATCAAAATTAATATTTGTTTCATATTTGAATTCGAATTTGTATTTGAAAATATTAAACAAATACAATATCTCATTATTCGACTCGATTCGGTTCGTTTACAACCCCACTTACAAGTTAACTTACTCATTTCACATTTTTCTCGTTTTTATTTTTATTTTTATCTGCAACCCAACAGAGTCACGAAATTAACGAGTGGCACTGGCGGAACGCTTCAGCATATTTTGAGTAAAATGCATAGACAGTACCTTAACTATGGGTAATGTTGCATTTTAGTACCTTAAGTTTTTAATGAAGCAAATCAGTACCTCAACTATCTTTAAATGTTGCATCCGGCGGTAGTACTCAATTTTCCGGTGAAAAAACGCCACATGGCAGCCGAAAATCCACGTAATACATCATAGTCATTATTTTTATCCACATCATAAGTTGCCACGTCATTTGTACAAAACTGTTAAAAAAACAAATTTTCAAAAACACTGCAGTGGGAGTTGAACCTGCGTTGCTTGAGAGAATGTAATGTACTGACCATTCCACTGCCATCTAATTACTTCGACATTCATTAAATTTGGAGGAAGTAAATTTATAAATAGCAATCTACTTCCGTGCATATTTTTTTGACTGATTTAATTTACATTTTACCTCACATATATGATATACCAGGGTATTGTTTACACCGTAAATCCGTAATTATATTTATAAATATTTGAATTTAAATATTTTTTTCAAAATTTATATTTCGCATTTTTTAGTCTAAAAACTCCGACAGTTGAAATTTCAGACACTTTTTTACTTTATATATGTAATATTGGTATCGTATAAAAGATTAAAAATTATAAATTTTGGTATATTTTTATAAAATTTAAATTACAAATAAAATTGTTTTAATACTTTAAAAAGAAATGGACCCTTGATAACAATAAAAAACGATTCTCTCTTACAAAATTCCAAAAAAAAAGACAACATTGAAAACTAACACCATTCAAACGTGAAAAAAAGGATGCACCTTTTTTTTTCAAACGTGAGTTGCGTGAAATTGGTATATATATATATGTCTTATGAAGAACCTGTGCTCAGCTTCCGGAAATAATTCCTCAATTGCAGGGATCAACCCCTACAAGTTATGAACAATATGAACTTAGGTGAGATATACATTTATTAAATACATAGTAGCATGAAAGAACATAGAAAAAAATTAGAAAATGAAAAAACCTTCTATCTATCGGACATAAAAGCCCAAAATCGACCGTCTTCACCAATCCCAACATCTTTTGCAACAAGCTCTAAAAACTACTTCCAGTTTGCTTTGTTCTTCCTTTGAACCACAACCCAAGCAAAGGGATAAATGCAATCATTTGCATCTATATCCACAACGGTTAACAATTGGCCTCCATATATACCCTGCAACCAAGTGCCATCAACTGAAATAAGCCTCATACGACACTTGAATCCTATTTTCAAGGACCCGATGCATACATACATCAACCTAAACACTTGATCATCCAAATCAAACACAACAGTTGACCCTGGATTGCTTTTTAAAAGTTCATGTCCATATGATTGCAACCTTTCCATTCGCTTAATCTCATCTCCATGAATAAACCTAATGGCAATGTCTCTAGCTCTCCAAGCTGTGTTCCTTGAAATCTCCACACTGAAATCCCATTTAACACTTGTTTGTATATTTGCAATCAACCATGTAGGATCAATTCTAAAACTCTCACTGTAATAATTTGCGATGAACTTTGCGTTAATGTCGGTTGTAATTCACCTTTGCACAATGATGTTTCAGGTTTGCACTTTTGATCTGAACTGCACTCTTATCTGGATTTGTGAGATATGCCCATATGTAGAAACCACATTTGTTTTTACATATGGCTCTGCATTTTTCTTTGTTATTTGGACAGAAAACAACCTGGTCCTTTGATCTTACTGAAGCCATCTTCACTGCATCTTTAAACTGCTTGAAAGTGTTGAAAATAATGCCAACTTTAAAGTTGAGATTTTTCATGTCATATGTTTCACTAAAAACTGACCAGTGTGACTTTCTTATGGTGCCATGACTACCATCTGACTCATCATCTGAACATGAATCAAGCTCATCTGATGGAGCATAAATTGTATCCACTGAAGCATCTGACTCATGACCACATGTATTAAGATTGTTTGCACCATGTTTCTCTACCTCTTTATATATAAACTGGTCAAATAAGTCATCATCATTTTCAATATCATCCTCGAGAAGATCATAATCTGAATCATACAGGTCTGAATCAATATCATCATGACTAGTTTCACTATCATGATTGGAATGCAAGAATTCTGAATCGATATCATCATATCGTTTACTACTTGCACATTGCACTTCATTCTCAGTTGTTTCCCCAATCTTAGCATAAATATGCAAAATTCTGTCTGCAGTAACAAAAGATGACATTTCTAGTACATCACGGTCAGTCTCTAAATTCATATCACTATTACCAGAAATCTTGTTTGGATGCTTCCAGAATAGCTTCAAACAACCACCAACCAATCCACACTCTTCAGCCATACGATCTATCTCCATTTTTGAAATCTTATCAAATGAACAATAATCAATCCAGCCCACATCATTAAACTTGAAATCTTCATCAATTGTATGCCATTGTATAGAAAAGTAATCTGAGTGACCTGAAAACATATGTGCTAATAAATTAATGACCAGACCCCTCGATTCATTATGGGAACAAGGAGTTGTAATCATTCTCATGAATCTAATGTAATTTTTTTATTACTGAATATAGTTTTTAAGTAATGAACCACATAAAATTTTTAGATTAATTGAGTAAAACAATTTCATGTAATGAATAATACCTAATCCAATATAACTAAATTATAGAGATAAAATCAAACAAATAAACCTAACATTATTCATGGAAACTTACTGTATGCTGGAGAAGGCTCACCATCAATTCGATTCTGCCAATCTTTTGACATTTTGTCCTTCTTGGGAATACAATAGAAAAAATGTAGATGCAGGGAATCAGAAGTGTGGATGCAAGGAATCAGAAGGTGCTCTTCTTTTCATCTTCTTTTCATCGTATGTGCTGAATCAAAAGGTTGAGATCAGACCTACACTTGCATCTTAGAGCACTGCTATGGAGTCATAGAGAGGTTTTTTTTATCGGCAAAGATAGAGTTTGAATTTGAGAAGCTCAGGCTACAGAGATCTTTTAACGGTAAGGATTAGGGCACAGTAAAATGATGATGTGGATAAAATAATGATTAAAATGTATTACGTGGATTTCCGGCCGCCATGTGGCATTTTTTGGCCGGAAAATTGAGTAGTACCGTCGGATGCAAACTTTTAAAGATAGTTGAGGTACTCATTTGTTTTTTAAAAACTTAAGGTAAAATGCAACATTACACGTGAGTTTAATGCACCAAACCCCCTCGTGAAATATAAATTCGACGTATTAGTTCCTGTGATTTAAAGAATGCGTCAAATCCCTCTGTGTTATAATTAATAATGCGCCAAACCCCCTCCAAGAATAAATTTAATTTCCAAAAAAAAAACAAGAAAAATGATTAGTATTTTTGTATAATTTGGAAATTTTGACAAAGTTACTTGCATATTCAACCATATTATTACAAAAAGTGATTGATAAATTACCCCAAATAGGACTAACAATGTTTGTATATTCCAAAATAGAACTATCATATTTTTATTCCCAAAATAGGACTAATTACTGCTATGTTTGGAAAATATTATCATGTTTAAAGTCTGATACTCACAAAACATAGCAGTAATTAGTCCTATTTTGGGAATAAAAACATGACAGTCCTATTTTGGAATTTTCAAACTTTTTTACTCCTATTTCAGGAATTTCCCGAAGTGATTTCAAAATTGTAAAATTTGTTCTTGAAGGGATTTTGAGCACGATTAATTAAAACACACGGGCCTGATTTATATTTTTTGGTGCATTTAACCCCATTACCCATATTTGCTTCATTTTACTCGCATATTTTCGAACAAGTTTCAGGCCTGCAATGGCGATGACGTTCTTGCCGGCGGCTCATGTTCATAAGCTCTACCCGCAACAACTTACCAGCAACACGAAGTCTCCTAAACTTCTTTCTCGTCGAGGCATAATCTTACTTCCAGGGTCCTCACTTTGTTCTGTCGAGTATTTGTACTCTTATGTTTTTCGATGTAATTTGCTCATTTTGAACATTTATAGATTGTTATTCGTCTTGTGGAAACGCTGGTTCGTTTACTGCGACTTTGAATCAAGCGAAATTGGAGACTTCTGCAAAGGCGGTGGGTTTGAAGCCTCATGTCAAGCTATCATGGGTGAAGAGGCAATATTTTTAGGCTTTTGTCTTGAGCTGTTTCCATCATCTACGAACTAAGACTTCTTTATCTTTTTTTTATGGGGTTTCCAGAACCGCAGTGTTGAGGTCTGCAACCATAGAAGAAATAGAAGCAGAAAAATCTTTTATCGAAGAAGATGTTGTAAGCATACAAAGATTTTAGAACTGTTTCATTGCAGTTTACTGGAAAGTTACAACTGCTCCATTTCTTGTTTAGAAAGAGAGAATGGAGAAGACGATTGAGAATGTTAGGTCCAATTTCAACTCTATAAGGACAGGGAGAGCTAACCCAGCAATGCTGGATAAGATTGAGGTAAAAAAAAGTCTATTGCAATTTCTAGCTCTCTTCGTGGAAAATAAAGTGTCAAGTATTTAACTATTTAAGGCCACCAATTAATTTGTCCTGATGATTCTGATCAAATTAAAACCCCATAGAAAAGTACTTAGGTACACACACATAACGGGTTGTGCTTCATTGTATTTATATGAAAATATTTTATATAAATTCTTTTTACTTTGGTAGGTGGAGTACTATGGTACTCCAGTCAGCTTGAGGAGCATAGCCCAAATTGGCACTCCTGATGCAAGTTCTCTCCTAGTACAGCCCTATGACAAATCCAGGTGCCATCCTTTAATCATACTTTATACTCTAGAGACCATGAATGATGTCTCTTCTTCTTTCCTGCCTTGATAAGATGTCACATTTGATTCTCTTCCTCCAGACTTGTTGAAAAACGTTATAGTGTATTTTGGATTCACTTATATTTGACAATTCTCTTGGTTTATACTTTCTTCATAGTACTTTCTTGTATGGTCTTTATAGTCTTATAGCTGCCAATGCTTTTGAAAACATAGGTCTAATGTTTTAAAATTTGCACATTGTGTAGTCAAGGCAGTTCCGACGGATGAGGTGAGGTGGAAAGCTCGTGATGCATTGAAGTCTAAGTTTCAAATTTGTAATAATAATAGTCTAATACTAATATACATTAAGTAATTATGAACTAATATTAAAGTTTAGTTCATTAACAAATGTTACGGAGTATAAAATATTCATTAAAATTCAAAAAACTTTTAAAGTCATAACACAACCAGACAACTGAAATAGTAATTTCAAACATCACATAATAGAAAATAATCAAAATATTGTCTTATGCACAAAAGTTTAAGTTCATTTAAATGAGGAATGTAAAATAGGGTTATCTCTATCTAGTGGTTTGAGATTTGGATCGAGACCAGTAGTCTCTCCCCCAAGAATAGTGGTCAATATGAAGTTTGAAATCATGAACATCTACATCGAAATCCTTGGGACCTTGACTTCTCTTTGGGAACTGCACCAAACACTATTTTCACAGAAGTACCCTGTAGATGGGTTCACACTTTGATGGTATGAACCAGCATCGGCATCAATAAACTCTTATCAATTTTTCTGAAGCACATTTTTTTACTTTCTTGCATAACTAGAGTAGACCTGGCATCATAGTCGTCATGGCGTCGACTAGGCAATGTTTAGGTGTCAAGGCTTTAGAGAGCACTTGCCATGGCTAGTCGTCTAGCCTGAAGAGTGTTAAACATTGAATGACTCGATGACGTCTTGGCATCGACTAGGCATTTATAGGAATGAATGATCTTTCTCAAGAACTGTATTGAGCTCGCAATCCAACCCGCCAAATTTGCGTTTTTATTTTTTTCTTCTCTCTTTCTTCCATTTTCTTCATCGTTCTTTTCTTGATATATCAATCACATGAATCACATCATTGCTAATTTTTTTTGTAGCATAATTGATGGGAAATAGATATTAGACTCTTCCATTTTCTTCATTTTTCGTTTCTTTATATATCAATCACATGGCTCTTGTTACTATAGTTTATGTTTTACTACGTATACTATAATACCTCGTAATATATTATATTAAAATATCACACACGGCTACTTGTCACCTAGGTGACAAGGCGGATCGCTAGTGCCGGTTCCTCATATAGCCACCGTGACAACCGTGCCTAGTGTATCGTTTTTTACGCCTCAGTAGGGTATTCAGCAAAGGTTAGGGGTTGTTTACTTTTTAGCCACCGTGACAACCGTGCCTAGCGCCTGAATGCACTTTTGAACACTTAGGGGTTGTTTACTTTTTTTTCCCTATCAAGTCTTGTCTGGATTAAGGCGTCTGTTTGGATTAAGTGATATGAAGTTGTTTATTTTGCGTGCTGAATAAACCATCATAATAGAGTAAACTAATCAATTTAATATTATTACTAAGTTATATTGACAACGAGTAATGTGATTTATTATCATATATCTATTCCATATTAGGTATAAAAAAACTGACTGAATACATGTCTCAATGAGCGCCTTAATGGGAATGAGTGCCTTTTCCAGCTTAATGATTAAGTCAATTTTTTGACTGAATGAATAAGTCGTGTTTTCAATTATGTCGTAAGTAAACATGACTTAATGACTGGACGATTAAGTCCTCTTTCTCATTAAGTCCATTAAGTCATAAGTAACGACCCCTTATAGACTTCTAGCTACCATTAGGTGCAGTTTGCTGATGTGTTCTATTTGATTATGTAATTATCCATATCCACCATGCATATGTTGATGCTTATTATTTATGCATTTCTGAGTTTGGTTATCAGCCTAAAAGCTATAGAGAAGGCCATTGTAAATTCTGAACTTGGTATGACTCCTAATTCTGATGGAGAAGTGATAAGATTAGCTCTACCTCAATTGACATCTGAAAGAAGGAAGGTGTGTCTCAAATCTCAATCTATTTCTCAGTAATTGCAAGTTTTCATAATGCTGATTTTAATCTTGGCTTTTTCCTTGATTATTTCTCGGATTCTCCATCCCAAGGTGGGTTTCAGTTTTACTTTTCTCGGATTCTTAGTAGTAAGTGATTTTATTCTCTTATTATGGTTTATAATTGTTTTCAAAATTAGCTTTGCGTTTCAATACAACTTTTAGTCTTGTTTCTAAATATATACTACATATATTCAATTACTAACATTAACTTAAAAATTGTCAGGGACGAATTAATTTTTTTCTCAGCCAATCTCATAAACCGTTATTTTGAAATTCAATTTGGGACGGAGGGAGTATATACATGAGAGGTTAATGCTTCATATTTCGTGCTGTTGTAATACAGATGTTCATAAGTGGTGTCTGCTACTCTGGTTTATATACCTGGTTACTTGGTTGAGTTCGTTCCAACTTCTGTTTAGCTTTTCCGGCTTGACCCGAATTGGATTTTTTAATATTAGTTAGTCTCAAATTTCTATTTGGAGAAGAGATTTACCTTTAATTGTATGCACTTCGTAACATGCTTTTGCAACATATTTTGTTACATTATTTTCGTTGTGTAGGAATTGTCAAAAGTTGTGGCCAGGCAAGCTGAGGAAGGGAAGGTACTAACACCTTAGTCCAACCACCTCCTTTTTTTAAAGGAAAAAGGAAATTGTTAACAAAAGATTTTATTAACAACATGGAGTGGAATCTGAATAAAACCCTCTCCAGAGGGCATACCCTCCAAAGATACAAAATGGTGTATGTCTAACATTCAAAAAAGAAAACTGAACACAGTAAAAAAGAGCGCAGATAAGTGAGATAGCCACAAGGTATTTTCCGAATATGCAAAATGGCTATATGCCAAGCAGATAAAACATATTAAACCAGATCAACTTCCTTAAAGGCAGGAAATTCTCGCAATTTTAAAACAGATCCAAATATATTTCATCCACAGCTTTGGTTAGCTACTTTTGGCCTTTGGAGCCTGCCTTGTGACCATGGTTGGCTGGGATTCTTCCCATTTCTTCATCCTGCATTTTTATGGGAAAATCTTCTGGTAATTTATGCACAATATTCTTTTTAGTTTCTTGATTTTCGAACAAAAGTCTTCATTTTCGAACAAATGTCTTCATTTTCATCATCATCCTCTTTAGCGTTGTCATCAACTCCTATGATGTCTTTTCTGCATCCGGGTAGACAAAGTGATCACGAGTGAAAGTAAGGTAGTACGAAAGCTAACTGGCAGTTACTGAAGCCATTTTTGTAATCCAGAACCTAATGGAGCCTCACAATAGGACCGTTCACTATTTTTAGACTCCTTATCATTTCAGCTCTGCTATCTCCTGCAATATTTTTTTACATTTTCCAGCTAAAGGTTCTAATTGAAATCTCTTCCATATCATCTTCCTTAATCTTATTATCACTTCTATCTTCTATATTATTTTTGTGGCCCTGTCCTGTAACAAGATTACTAACTGTAAGTTTGAAGAATTAATCTTCCTTGTGTATTATTGAGCCATCCGGCAATGATATATATACAAGTTACATATAAAGTTAAGTTGTTACAGATCCTAAAAAGTAGGATCTATCTATTCTATCTATTCTGCGAGCTAATCTAAGAATTAGAGACCTCTATCTACTCTAATTCTTATCTATACAGTCCCGGATGTACAAATAATAAAAATAACATGTATATGCTACATTTTTCTACACTCCCCCTCAAGTTGGTAAGTATATATCATACATTCCCAACTTGCTTATAAGAAATTCAAACACTGGTTTAAACAGCCCCTTTGTAAAGATATCAGCTGTTTGTTCTTTGGTAGATATGAATGGTGCACACAATTCCAGCTTCAATCTTCTCTTTGATAAAATGCCTGTCCACTTCAATGTGTTTAGTACGATCATGTAGCACAGGATTGTGAGCAATATTAATGGCTGCTTTATTGTCACAATATAACTTCATAGGTAGTTCCATTTCCATATTCAACTCTGACATCATTCTCTTGATCCAAAGTAGTTCACAGATTCCATTAGCCATAGATCTGAATTCAGATTCTGCACTACTTCTAGCAACCACATTCTGCTTCTTACTCCTCCAAGTCACTAGATTCCCCCATACATAAGTACAATACCCAGATGTAGATCTTCTATCAGTTATTGAACCAACATAATCTGCATCTGTAAAAGCTTCTACACTTCTATTGTCACTTCTTTTAAAAAATAATCCTTTCCCTGGACAGCTTTTCAAATATCTTAGGATTCTGTAGGTAGCATCTAGATGTTCCTGGAATGGATTATGCATGAATTGACTAACCATACTGACTGCAAAGGCAATATCTGGCCTTGTATGTGCCAGATAAATCAACCTTCCCACCAATCTTTGATATTGTTGAATATTAACTGGTACTCCTTCCTTGACATTTCCTAACTTTTGATTAGGGTCAATTGGAGTATCTATTGGTCTGCAGGCACTCATACCTGTTTCATGGAGTAGGTCTAGTACATACTTCCTCTGAGATACCACAATTCCCTTCTTTGATCTGGCTATCTCCATGCCAAGAAAATACTTCAATTCTCCCAGGGCTTTGATCTCAAATTCCTGAGCAAGCTTCTTCTTCAGGTCTTCAATCTCTTTACAATAGTTTCCTGTAAGAATGATATCATCCACATAAACAATTAGTACTGCAATCTCTCCCTTAATGGAGAATTTCATGAATAGTGTATGGTCTGCTTGGGCTTGCTTGAATCCCCGCTTCTTTATGAATTGAGTAAACCTTTCAAACCAAGCCCTTGGGGACTGTTTAAGTCCATATAAGGCTTTCTCCAGCTTGCACACCTTTGAGCCATATTGTTCCTCAAACCCAGGAGGGGGGCTCATGTATACTTCCTCTTCAAGCTTCCCATTTAAGAAAGCATTCTTCACATCTAACTGTTGAAGAGGCCAGTCTAGGTTAGCAGCTAGAGATAAAAGGATTCTTATAGTATTTAATTTTGCAACTGGAGCAAAAGTTTCTGTATAATCTATGCCATAGGTTTGTGTGTATCCTTTGGGCAACCAATCTGGCCTTATATCTTTCAAGTGTACCATCTGCCTTGAATTTAGGGGTAAATACCCATTTGCATCCCACTGTTGGTTTGTTTTTGGGTACTTCTACAGCCTGCCATGTCTGATTCTTTTCATGAGCATTCATTTCTTCTAAAACAGCCTTCTTCCACTCAGGTATAGATAGAGCTTCCTGTATGGTTAAGAGAATATAAACAGTGGAAAGACTAGAGGTAAAGGCTGCAAATGATGTAGATAACTGAGAATAGGACAGATAGTTTGAGATAGGGTATTTAACACATGATCTTTTTTCTTTTCTGAGAGCAATGGGTAGATTTAGATCACTGAAATTATTACCTTTGTCATTTTCTGACATTGAGTCAGATTCATGGGCAGTGGCAGGATCAGGGATGTCCTGTATTCTTTGATTTGGAACTCTCCTTTTCATAAACCTTGCCAAAAAACTTACTTGTCTGCTGTTCATCATCTTTCCTTGTTTCAGAAAAATTTATTTCATTTTCTTTTGACTCTTGACTATTTTCTAGTGCATCTAACTGTCTATTATATTGTGCATCTAGACTAATGTCAAGAGATTCAAGTTTTTCATGGATATGTGACACATTATCACCATCTTCATTAGGAATCTCCCCCTGAAGATGAGTACCAAAAAAAGGTTGATTTTCAACAAAAACAGTGTTCATTGTTACAAACATCTTTTCTGTGTTGAAGATAGTCTTAAGAAAACACATTTTTTGCCTCTAGGATCAAATTTGCTTGCAGTTCTGTCAGGGTTGGTAATAAAAACTGTGCAGCCAAAATTTTTTATGGGAAGAGAATTAATAAGCCTAGTTTCAGGAAAACTGGCTTGAAGAGTATCAATAGGAGTTTTAAATCCTAGAGTTTTTGATGGCATCCTATTAATTAAATAGGTAGCATGTAAAACAGCTTCTCCCCATAAATATTTTGGAATTTTAGCAGAAAACATAATTGCACGAGTGACTTCAAGCAAATGTCTATTTTTCCTCTCAGCTATTCCATTCTGAGCAGGTGTATTTACACAGGAACTTTGATGAATAATTCCTTTTTCAGCAAAAAAATTATTTAACTTCTTAGAAAAGTACTCAAGACCATTATCACTTCTCACAATTTTGATATTAGTGTTGAATTGAGTCTGGATCATTGAGTAAAATTTTTTTGAACACTTCTTCAACCTCAGATTTTTCTTCAAGTAAAAAAACCCATGTGACCCGTGTGTGATCATCTATGATAGTTACAAACCACCTTTTTCCTTTCAGAGTTGGAACTCTAGATGCACCCCAAATATCACTGTGTACAATAGTAAAAGGACTAGTTGGCTTGTAACTATGAGGGATATAAGAACTCCTATGATGTTTGGCAAATGCACACATATCACAATGAAATGATGAAGGATTTTTATTATGAAATAACTTAGGAAACAACATTTTCAGATAAGAAAAACTTGGGTGACCTAATCTATAGTGCATTAAATACACTTCATTATTACAAGGAAAGAAAATAGTTTGCAGACAAGTTTTTTCTTGACCTTGTTTCTTAGTTTAAAAAAGCGCGCCTGAGGCGCGCAAAGGCGCGAGGCGCCCTAAGGCGAACACTTTATCGCATCTTCAACCCCCAGGCGGCGTAGGTTCTGAGAGGCGCGCCTTATACGACGCTTTTTGACGCCTTTTGCGCCTCTGAGAGGCGCGCGCTTCTCACGCCTCATGGATGTCTCTCTAGTCTTCTTCCTTATTCCTTCTTCTCCCTTCTTCCTTCTGCGTTTGCTTTGCTTCCGAGTTCCCACATCTGCTGTCCCGTTTCTTCCGCTACTTTCTCGCGTCGCAGGACTCGCAGAGTAGTCGCAGGTAGGTATTAATTTCTTCTCTTCTACAGTTTCTTTTATACGTATATAGTTTATTAATTAAGTTTAAGTATGTATTATATTATATTTTATTACCTTGAAATTGTAGTGTTACTACCTCTGTTGGTCTGTTCTAGATCATGCTGAGTACCAAATATTTGATTTTGTTTAACAATTTTTTATATAACATCTTATTAATTTTGTTTTGAAATTTTAAAATTGAGTTTTGTGACTTGACTTTTGCCAATGATGCCGTTTGATATTTATTTCTTGCTACTGTCTTAATAAATATTTGGTTTCTCTTATGATGTATGTTAAGATTGTTTAATAGTTTGAAGTATTTTTGTGATCTTATCATTTTTTGAGATGAGTGCTTCATGTAGAAGACTAGAAATAGTATAAATATATCTTACCAAAGATATGATGTTAAGAACCGTGAGGCGCGCGCCTCGTCTCCTTGCGCCTTACGCCTCGTGCCTCGGTAAATCAATGAAAACGCCTTGCGCCGCCTCACGCCTTTTAAAACTAAGCCTTGTTTATTCAATTGTGTTCCTTCATCAAAAGTATAGAGGCCATCCTCCTCTCTAGCACTGCCAATCATCCTCCCTGATGCCAGATCGTGAAAAATGCAATAAGAGGGATAAAACTTTACACAACACTGAAGGTCTTTGGTTATTTTGCTAATAGAGATAAGATTGCAGGAAAGTTTTGGAACATGTAAGACTTTGGAAAGGTTAATGGATGAGGAAATTTTAATATTTCCCATCCCTGCTATGGCTGAAAAAGAGCCATCTGCAACTCTAACTTTCTTATCTCCTGCACAAGGTTGATATGAAGAAAAAAACTTTGGAATGTAGGTCATGTGATCTATTGCACCTGAGTCAATGACCCAGGTGTTTTTTGGTTTTTCAGAACAAAAAAATGATGTTATTTTACCATTTTGGGCAAAAGAACAGGTAGGGTTTTCTTGGTTGAGATTTTCTGGGTGGGTATAAATTTGAGTAGGTACTCTATCTGTTCTTGAGTTAATGGTAGCTGTTTAGATTCAACTCCTGACTCTTGTTGAGTCTCAGTCACAGTAGTTTGTAGGGCCCTCTCTACTTTCTTCTTTCCAGCTCCTGGTGGTTTTCCATGAAGTTTCCAGCATGTATCCCTTGTGTGCCACAATTTCTTGCAGTGATCACACCAAGGTTTTTTCTTGTTGTCATCACTTCTGGCCACCAAAGCTGAAGAGTCCCCAGGTTCCTCATTAGGTACTGGAGTGTTGTACATGACCCTCCTGCTATCTTCCAACCTGATCTCAGAAAAGACCTCTCTGATTGAGGCCAGAGGTTTCTTCCCCAGTATTCTGCCTTTTACTTCATCTAGGTCTCTATTTATTCCTGCTAGGAACATATAGACCCTGTCATTTTCCTCTCTCTTCTTGTGTCTTGCCAGATCCTTAGCTTGGCATTTTCTCAGTCTTCAGCATCATAACATTGGTCCAACTATTGCCATAAAGATACCATCTCATTATAGTATGAGATGACATCTCTACTTCCTTGTTTGGACTGCCACAACCTTGTTTTTAATTCATAGATCTGAGAGGAATTCTCAAGATCTGAATATGTTTCTTTAATTGAATCCCATACCTCTTTTGCAGTTTTCATGAACATGTGAGGTTTGGCGATTGATGCATCCATTGAACTGAGACGCCATGCTGTTACCAAAGAGTTTTCTGACCTCCAGACATTGTAACCATCTTCACCATTCTTCTTCTCCTCTACTTCACTCGCTATGTATCCCAACTTTCCTCTTCCATCTATTGCCAGTTTGACAAACTGTGACCACTCTAGGTAATTGGTTCCATTCAATCTATGTCCCGTAATGAGCATAGATGAATTAACCGAGGCCTGATAATTTGTCATTTGGCTAATTTGGGAGTTAGGGTGATGGGTTTGTGAGTGGGTGGAGGAATCAGAGTGTTCGGTGTCCACCATTGTGGTGTTTTAAACAACAAGGCTCTGATACCATGTAAGTTTGAAGAATTAATCTTTGAAAAGATCAACCTCAACACAAATATGAGCCAAAGTTGTCCTAGTTTTAGTGGCAGTTTGATCATCAATATTCATAGGTTTTCCAGTCACGGAAGCTATAGAGTATAATTTTTCTTTATCAAAGTAAATCAAAGGTAAATGAGAAAGTGAGATCCAGATAGCCAGATAGGAGCAGTCGAGGATGGAGACATCAAAGTTGTATGTGTATTTTCACAAGGTTTTTCTTTATAATGCATATTTGATTTAATAAAAAAGAGCCGAGTTTAATCTTCAAATAATACAAAATGTGTAATAACATTCCTATTTTCAAGTATTCCAATCGAAAACGTTCATTAAACCCAAAAGAATTTAACTCCGATTCAATAATCTTAAGACTGACTTAAGGGGAGGCCCACCTATGAGAATTTTTCTACCAGATCATATTCAAGCCGTTGAGGTAGTTTATGAATTTCATCAGAGGTAACTGGGATGAATTGATCGTTGTTGACAACTCTCGCCTCACGGACATTTATCAATCTGATCATCTTCTGGAAACTCCTTCTTTGAAAGTCTTGGGGAGTTCATTCATTCCAAATTTCTGAAGAGTTGGATCGCCAACATGGTTTTATTTGCCACAGACAACCTCCGCCTAGCTTCAATGCGGTGGAGATTCTTCAAAAGTTCCAATCTCAAACTAGCTCCTTTTCTACCATTCTTCTTTTAGTGTGTGTGTATATATACACACTTACATGGTTACTCTATGTTCCTATTATCTATTATCTTTGACTTAATGTCCCTTTCGAAAGCTTGAGGTTTTAGTGGGCATACAAGAGTTTCTTTTCTGTAAGACAGTTTCTTTCTGTAAAATAAGCTTTGCCTTATGAGTAGGTTACTCTGTGATTATTAGGTATATAATTTGTACTACGGGTATTGCAAATATTAAAAGATAGATTTGCTTAACTCTCTGCAGTTTAGGAATATAGTTGCAACTTTTGGCTGGTATGAAATCCAAAAAATGAAAACAGAACTGCTAAATATTACTAACTCTGTCCCAATTTGATGGTCCTGTTTCTTATTCACTTGGTCAACACAAACCACTCTTAATCTCCTACTTTATATATCAATTTTTTATCAAATTTGATTCTGGTTTTTGCAACTTTGTAAAGCTTTTAATGTAGTTTCTGAATATGCAATTTTGTTTTCTAAAAATAATTCGAGTATGCACAGGGATCCGTTTGCTTTATCATCAGCCAAACCTCGTAAACTGCAACCAGACCATCAAATTGGGACAGAGGGAGTATTATGTTACAGAATTCCATGAAAAGTTTTCTTGTTCAAGAAATCAAATTTGTATTAGTTTTCTCATTTTCTATACTTGTCTTGTGAACTTGTGATCTACAAACTCCCATTAGTTGCTTTTAGGGTCAATATTTTACAGTGTGTACTTCATATAGGGTCCTCAGATTAACTAATTTTGATCATGCATATTCAATATTGTACTTGACTCCCATCATTGCCTCTTTTCGCACATGCATGACATGTTCACTTAATTAAGAGTTTCTGCCATTCAGATTTTAGATTAGATTAGATAAAGGTATGCGGTATACCCTTGCCCTGCACTTGTAATTTGCTCTCAGTCGTTCATTGAAACTTATGTCTTTATTTATTTTTTATATTGTATAAGGTCGCTTTAAGGAATATAAGAAGAGATGCCTTGAAATCCTACGAAAAACTTGAGAAGGTATTTTTATTCCTTGGATTCTTCCTGCTATGTATCATTGCAGACTTTACTTCTACGTTTGACTGTCTTTACATATCTTCTTAGGAGAAAAAACTCTCTGAAGACATTGTGAAGGATCTGTCAAGTGATTTGCAAAAAGTGACTGATGAGTACATGAGGAAAATCGATGCTATCTACAAGCAGAAGGAGAAGGTAATATTTGCTTAGATATGGTTTTAACTTTCATTGAAATAATGATCATTAATGTTATAATTTGTGGGGGGGTGGGGGGGAAGAAGTGAGGTATACACATGATGAGTTCTGGAGTAATTAAGAATTATATACTAAGCTAAAAAATAAATGATGGTTGAAAACAATAACAACTACAATAGAAAAGCTCTACACATAGGCAACATATCTCAAATGGATGACGATGCATTACTTAAGCTTAGGGTTGTATCACGGTTGTCCAGGAACATTTTGTCATCCAGTGATATGTTGCCGATGTTAGGCCATACTTCCCCCACACCTGAAGTGTAGGAAAATTAAAGCTCTGACGCTCACTGACTCACCAAATTTTGTATTACCTCGTGGCTCCGTCCCTAAATTATCTTCCCAAGTACATGTGGTGGAGAGTTGTGCAGAAGAGAGAAAAGTGTAAGAATGTGTAATAAATGTTGTGAACCACAAATTCCTTGCCAAAAAGAGAAATGAAAGATTATTTTGGGACGAATGAAAAAAGAAATTTGGAAGATAGTTCAGGAACGAAGCCATGTTGTGGTTCTGGTGCTAGTACAAATTTGAACCTCCTTTTTTCTTTTCACAAGGCAGTTAACGTGTTCATGCATTTTGTGTGAGTAATGTTTTGCCAAGGGATTTGTCCATGTAGTTATTGCCTGGTATTGATAATCCCTTGCTAAGAGCAAACACTAAGGCCCCATTTGGGAAAGTGTATTTGCTAGAAAATCTTATTTTTGTTCGAATGCAAGTCCAAACAATATACTTCTTTCCCAAAAGCTTATTTGAAACGCCAAATGCCACCACAATGTAAAAGCTAATCCAGGATAGCTTTTGCGTTTTGAGTATGAAGTTTGAGACTAAAATAATTCATTTTTAGATTTACTATATCAACTGCAATGCCAAACATATGTAACTTTAAAAAGCACTTTCTAACGGAAACCTCAAAGAGTCAAAGTACTTCTCGAAAGTATTTTTCGAACCGAAGCCTCAATCCTAAATTAGGCCTACTTCTCCTTACACTCCTTAAAGATTTATCCATCCATGGTACACAAACTTATAAAACCGCCTAAGCCTATAAGAAGTTGTTCTCTTCACCTGGTCTGAATGTTTTTTTATCTGAATTTTTTAAGTTCTGATATGATCTAATCTGACTTTTTCTGATCCGATCTGATCTGAATTTTTCTGATCTGGTCTGATCTGATATGAATCTTTCTGATCTGATATGAATTTTTTAAGTTCTGATATGATCTAATAATAATACTATTATTATTATTACTATTACTCTGTATTATTATTATAATAATAATTATTATTATTATAATTGTTATTATTATGATTAATATTATTATGATTATTATTATTGTTATTATTGTTATTATTATTGTTTTTGTTGTTGTTGAAATTATTATACGGAGTAAATAATAATTACTATTATTATTATTATTATAATAATAATAATAATTACTATTATTATAATAATAATAATAATAATAATAATACGTAGTAATTACTACTATTATTATTATTATAATTAAAGGGATAAATCATGTCTGAACTTTTCTGATTTGATCTGATCTGAATGCTTCTGATCTGAATGCTTCTGATCTGATCAAATCTGAATTTTTCTGATCTGATCTGAATAAAATAAGAATAAGAAATAAGTAAGTAATAAGAATAAGATGAACAGAACAGCTTCTAATCACCTTCATTATGACTAAATCTCAACCATTCATGTTGTAAATCCTAGTTGTTTATTGAGGACCTATAAGAAAGACGAAGTATTTAGAAAAGTGATCAGATCTTAATTTTTCTGATTTGATCTGAATAAAATAAGAATAAGAAATAACTAAGTAATAAGAATAAGACAAACAGAACAATTTCTAAATCACCTTCATTGTGACTAAATCTCAACCGTTCATGTTGTAAATCCTACTTGTTTATTGAGGACCTATAAGAAATACTCCCTCTGTCCCGAATTGAATTGCAAACTTTGACCGGCACAAGGATTAAGAAAAGACAATAAATGATGCTTGCTTTTTACACTTTTGCCCATCTTTCTAAAAGTAGATGCTTTTAAGTTAATGTGGAAAAAGTAAAAGCAAGGGTAAATTTGTCACTTTATTCTTATTTACATACTTAAAATAGAAAGTGGAAAACCATTTTGGGACAATCAAAAAAGGAAATTTTGCAAATCAAATTGGGACGGAGGGAGTACGAAGTATTTAGAAAAGTGATCCTAGATAATGGATTCCTCTCATATTTTTCTTCTTTTGGGCCTATCATAACCCAATTTTGAACAAGCTAAATATTTATCTCAGCATTAAAGTCTATTGAATGGTGGTGTTACTAATAGCTGGGGAGGATGGGTTTTACTTGGTTCCCGTTATATGATTATTTTTACGTTTTCCTTTAGTGGTTTGATTGCCCGGTTGTGACATGTTTTTTTTTTGTCTTGACAGGAGTTGCTGACGGTTTAACAGTTACTTTTGTGAAAAATGTAAATAGGGCCTTACTGCAATGTGCATTTCCTGAGACCATCTAACCGCACATTGAGTATGTTTCAAATTGATAATCATTCTTGCAATTGTTGTGTATTTAATGGGAATGGGAGGCTGATCAGTGCTGAGCACCTCAAGCAGATTCAATGCTCGAGTCACCCCATTTTGTAAGCCATTTTGTACCACACCATATGTTTGTGGTTCACAAAAATCCAACCTAATTAAATTAATTGCTCCATTTTAATGAAGTGCTTTTGCGAGCCACAAACATAGGAGTGAGTACAAAATGGGGTAGCTTTAGCATTTGTGCTAGTGTACTGGAAGGTACAACATTCCAGCCACACATCATTAAGTTTCAATTTGGAGGGAAAAATAATGTCAATTTCACAATTCCCTCCTAAACATTCATTTTGACAATAGGGTCAATCTAAATACACGAGGAAGAATAGTACACAAATTCAAATTACACAAGGCTTTACATCTATAAATACAACATTTATTGAACCCTATCTAACACTTCAACATCAATTAATGGCTTCCACACCTGAATCACCCGCAAAAAGAACAAAAAGATGGTCAAATACAAAAAGAGAAAACATAAAGGGGTATTTCCTGAAAAATATTGATGGGTTTGGCTAACTTCAGTGTCGGGTTATAAATAAAGCTGCACAAAAATTTCAAGTTTCAAGAAGAGCAATTTCCAGAATTTGTAGTCTTGTATGAAGCCAGGTAAACAACGGTGAGGGCATAGATGTCAGTCACAAATTGACCGTCAATATAGGCAGAAAAAGAATATGTGTTCCTCTGAACACTTTCAAGGACATTCCTTTAAGTAAAAGGACAAATATCAGTTCAGTTGCTCATGCTCTAGCTATTTCAAGAATCACATTTCACGGAATGAAGCGAAGGGGACAAGTGAAAACACATACAAGCACCATAAAACCTTTTTTAACTGATGACAACAAGAAGACAAGGTGTGTGTTTTGCTTACAACACCTTACACCTTCCTCAGTTCAGGGAAATCCAAGTTTTCAAGACTTTGGTGCTTATATTCACATAGATAAAAAATGGTTTAACATTACTTAAGTGATGACAAGGTGGTATTTGCATGAAGGTGAGGAACCACCAACATGCAAAATCAAAGAGGTTTATGACAAAAGTTATGTTCTTGTGTACAGTGGGAAAGCCGATTATTGGCAACAATGGAGAAGCTATTTTTGATGGAAAATTGGCATTTAGCCATTTGTTGAACAAGTAGCAGCCATTAGAAACGGCAAAAACAGGCCAAAAAATACCATGGAAACCAAAGCCATTTTATCAGTCACAAAAACAGTTACAGGATGAAGTGATCATTCAACAAGACAATGCTAAGTAAGTGGCCATCATAGTTGGGTAGGAAAGTGATCATTCAACAAGACAATGATAGACCTCATATAAGCACACAAGATGAAGCATTTATTCAGGCAACAACAGATGAGGGGTGGGACATAACAATGGTTATGCAACCACCTAATAGTCTAGATCTAAATGTATTGGACTTGGGGTTTGTCAACTCCATTCAGTCATTGCAATACCAAAGTTGTATCAAAACAATTGATGAATTCATCGGTAATGTACAAGATGCATTTAACAACTTGTCAATCACCACACTGAGCTATGTTTGGCTAACACTACAACTTACAATGATTGAAGTGCTTAAGGTCAAGGGTGGCAACAATTACAAGCTTAAACACATTGAAAAACATAGACTTGCAAGACAAGGTAACCTGCCTACAAGCATTGAAGTGGGAACAAGCATTGTTCAGGATGCAATAACACATGTCAATGGGACATCAAAGCCCTATTAAGCAGGTGAAGCAAACCATTTGCTAATCAACCTCTCAGTTCACTCCTTTATCATCATAGAGTCGTGCTTATACAACTCTCTGATAAGTGAGTTATCATCATAGATGGTTGTTATTTGGATTTTGATTTATATATTATGGCAACAATATATTTTTGTGTTTTTTCACTATGCACCATATATATGTAGCCAAAAGTATATAACAATGTGACAGAGGTTATATGTTAACCATAGGATGCATAACATGTGTATTTATTTAATGAAGCATTTTTTTTGGGAGTGAAATGCATGACACAAGGATAATGTACGTTTATACCTCTCGGACACTGTCTCAGTCATCATAGAGGTTGCATTGATGCCATACAACCTCTCAGACACATGATTTGTCATCATAGAGTCCAAATGGTGCAAATCACACAAACATGGGTGACAATCAAACAAAATCATATCACCACCTACATGTAAGGTTAATTGTCATTATAGATTCCAACCTCTCAACCTCTCAGACACCCCATTGACATCATAGAGGTTGTATTAAAGCCATACAACCTCTCAGAGATAAATGGGCTTATCATCATAGAGGTGTCAACAAAGAACACTTAACGATTCAACTAATACTAATACACCCATATCACACAAAGCAACCGATTCACATTAATGACGTCAACACCATCAACCCGGAATGTATTTACCAAAAAGGGGTGACATTCAGAACAATCATATGACCTCCAACATTTAGGTAAACGAATTCACAGAAAATATAACCCCACAATTTCGCATCATCAGTTAAGCCAAAACAAAACAACCAAACAATTTGGACATAGCTAGATAGAGTTAGATATACGTATTTGCAAACAATTTAAAGAGGATGAGTTCAAGCATAGTTGGCCTCCTTTTCCTCGACGTACGCATCTGGATCGCAAGGCCATTGCTAATCCTCCTCTTTGTTTCCCCCCCAACATAAAAAACAAGCGAAAAATTAGGTTTTTTCCAGATCTCTAAGCATCTGTTGCATTTCCACCCTCGTCTTCTCCTCCGGCGTTGGCCGTGTGTGCCCCCTCCTCAAAAAATTGCAGGAACAGATCTGCATGGCCCTTTCACTTAAGATATGGGCAATAGCTTTCCTGAAACGCTTCATCCGAACAGATGGTTGTTTCAACGGTGTGGCCGATCTGATTCAATGCCATGCACACACTAATGGTGAAGAAGTAGGGGTCAGAGAGATGAGAGGAGAATAGTGAGAGATGAATACAGATAAGTTGGGAAGGATAGAGAAGAAGACAGAGCATGAGAATGTCAATAGATGGGTGGGGGTTAAACGAGGTGTGCGAATAAATGAGGCGAGAGGGGTAGATAAGATAGGAGGGTATATGTGGAAAACCACTTTGTTTTTCTTACTAAAAATAGAAATGAGACTATCATTTTGGGACAGCCCAAAAAGGAAATACGGGGCTCTCATTTTGGGACGGAGGGAGTATTAAGAAAAAGTAAGGTTGAACTTGCTTTTTTGGATGTATTGGACCATTGGCTATTTGGCTGGAGTTACTATAATGGATCATTTTAGCTATTTTTTCACATAATTCTTTCTTTATTTTATTATAAAAAATATTTTAAATAAAACTTTTTCATAAATAATCAGAATCAGTCAATCCAGTCACTTCAGTCAGAATTTCATTAATTTCAGCAGAATTAGCCGATTCAGCCAATTCTAGTGTTATCAAACAGGCTCCAAGGCTTAAAATGACCGGAGTTGTTGAATTGGCCAGAATGGTATGATATTGTCATTATTGTGTCTGAAATAGGTGAAAGCTACGAACTGCTACAAGATAACAAATAAATTTACTAAATTATACTCCCCTCGTCCCAAAAAACTTTGTCACTTTCTCTTTTAATCAATTATTTTGTGGTTTCTGTTATTTCTCTCTCATCTGCACAAATCTCAACCACACAGTTTTTACTTTATTATTCTTCATGCCGATCAACTTTGGCAAAGTTTTAAGGGACGGAGGTAGTACCTTTATACGTAGTATTTAAAACATTTTTTGTTAATAAAATAATTTAAGATTTTCTTTTTGCCAGCGTGAATTAAGAATAAATGAAAAAGGCTAATTGATTATATTCGGAAACTTCACCCATTTCGGTAAAAATGTCTTTAATCATACTTTTTCATTACTCCGTACTAATTAGTATAATTTCTCTGGACACGAGTCTATCACAAATACTCCACCAGGCTAGATATAGTCTCTCCTTAGGCAGTTGTGCATGAGTTGATAGTGTCGTACCTAACAGTATCGGTCCTGGGTCGGTCCCAGTCCACCCCTACATAGTACTCCCTCCGTTCCTATTATATCTTCCAACTTTCCTTTTTCATCCGTTCCAATTAAACTTTCACTTTCCCCTTTTGGTAAAGAATTTGTGGTTCACAACATTTCTTACACATTTCTCTCTCCTCTGCACAACTCTCCACCACACAATACCTACTTTTCTTAAATTGTGTGCCCATGGGAAATGGAAGATAAAATGGGAACGGAGGGAGTACTATATTGGAAAATAAATAGTAGTAGTCTTGTTTGGGTAATTAGATGTGTCTTGTTATAGTCCTACTCAAATGGAGTTGTATAAAAATGGCATTTATAAAAGTGACAAACCAAGACAAAGTTAATTTAATTAGAAAAAGATTTCAACGCTCGAGAGTTATTGCATGAACTGTTTTACCAGAAGTATATGTTGCCTCCTTATTCATCTGCAAGGTAGAAACTAGAAACTGAAACTGCAATTGCTCCAACTAATCGCTCTGCTACATTTATACACTATTTGTAACTCATTTACCCTTTTTTTCATTTACCTTATTTATAGTAGATACAACAAATGTCAGGCAGAAAAGAACAATACATAAGAAGAAACAAAGAAAGATGCATGGATTACTTCAACAAATTCCTCCTCTCTAAATCTCGCATGCCTGATGATACATGACTACTTTTGAAGAAGTGAAACCAGGTTCAGTTCAACATCTTCTCTGGCCTTTTTATCGAACGCTTCATGGCCGATGTATAGGTCCAGAATTGATTGACACAGTAGTTTGCTCTGTATGCTTCCCACTTCCTTGCCGTCAACTGAAAATTCAAAATGACAGTATACATTAATTGACTCACAGTGAAGAGTGTATTTTTTTACATGGAAATATGCCAACTGACACTTTTGAGATTATTACAGAAAGATTCAATTTTTGTGAGGTACTGCACATAAAAATAACACATGAATTGCATTACGAGCACATCATTATTGTAGAATAATAAACTACGAACTACTTCTATTGATAAAACTCTCAATATAGAAAGAACTTCATAGTTTCTAGAGACTATTAAGATGCTTATATTCAGAAGTAATAGACATAAACAAGTAGAAATCGGAAATTTAAATCATAAATCTAAGAGGGTTAGGAGACCATAGTATTACTAAAACTATTCAAATTTTATTGTTATTACTATACTTCAAGAAGTATATGATCTTCCTACTACTTTCTTGCTAAGGCATCTATTAATTACGCTTGTAGCAAAGTTTTTCATTGCGCTCGTATTCTCAACCTATGTTGCACGGATACGGATAAGCCGATAAGCCGATACGCGAATACGGGTAGGGCGATACGGCAATTTAAAAAATTATAGGATACGGGTACGTGGGTATATTTATAAATAATAATAATAATAATATATGGTATAATTTGCAAATATATACTCCCTCTGTTTCTAAAAGAAACTCACACTTTCCTTTTTGAGATGTTTAAAAAACAAAGTCACGCTTCCCTTATTTCCTTATTTGGCAAACAAATCTACATCCAAACAGTGCCAAACAGTGCGAAACAGTGCCAAACAGTGTCCAAACAGTGCCAAACAGTGTATAAACAATGTTTTCTACAGTAAAGTCAATTTATTTCCTTAATAATCGTGAAGTCAAACCATGACTTTCTTTTGGAAATGGAAGGAGTATAATTCAGAGGTTCATAAATAAAATAATATTAGTACCCAAAATTAACAAAAATAATAAAATTTCAAAGATTAGACTAAAAAACTAAAGTACTGATATTTCGATTAATATCCAAATAATATTTTTGGTTCTCTATTTGCATTTACATCTAAGTCTTTTAGCAAGACTTATTTCAATTAAAGTTCATCAAACGACAAAACTAAATGACAAATTATAGTATTCCAGTATTTTGCACTCCCAAAATCATCTTTATCAATGTTCCACATCTTTTGGTCGCTTGCGCGAATACTAAATTTTCGTCATGCTGTGTATGAAATGAGGGTTATAGGATCAGATACATGTATCGGTTCACGGATACGAGTATCGGAAGTATCTGTATTTTTAAAAATAAGCCCAATACTTTTATTAAATTACAGATATGACACAATACGTACTGGACACGTATCGGTGAGTATCGGTATCGGATACGTATCAGATACGCGGATACAACATCAAGGTGAAGTATCGGTGCACCATAGTTCTCAACTTCCTTAATAATGGTATGAATTAAGTCTTAAACAACTTATGGAGAAGTATAAAGACACTAACCATGATCTGCATTTGGTGTTTATTGATTCAGAAAAGACATGTGATATGATACCTCGAGAAGTTCTTTGGTAGACCTTAACTAGAAAAGGCATAACAAGTAAGCATATCAGCATCATGGATATCTACGAGGATTGTACTACAAATGTCCATACAAGTGTAGGGACGGACTGCAGAGCTCCTTATTAGTATTAGAATGCATCAAGGATCAACTCTAAATTCTTATTAGTTATAGTCATGGATGAATTTACGAAGTCGACTAAAGAAGATATACTGTGGTGCATAATGTTTGCCGACGATATTATATTGATTGATGAGACACAATCAGGTATTAAAGCAAAGTTGGAAGTATGATAACAAACATCGGAAAACAGGAGTTTCAAATTGATCAGGCTGAGTCGAAACAAGACTGAGTATGTTGAATGCAAGTTTGGTGGAGGTAAATTTTAATCGGACAACAATTAAGCATGCATTACAATATGTCTATATAGCGTAGAGTGTTGGGCGATCAAACAATGTCACATTCAAAAGATGAGTGTAATAGACATTCGCATCCTGCGTTGAATGTGTGGACATACTATAAAAGACTACTTGAAGAATGAGACAATTAGATAAAAGGTGGGAGTAACATCTATTGAAGATAAGATGCAAGAGTCACGATTGCGGTGGTTTGGTTGTGTGCGTAGAATACCAAGTGATGAAGATGTTAAATGAGTTGAGCGGTGTGGAGAAGAGGCAGAGAGGAGATAAGAGGAAGACCTAAATAGACACGATTTCGAGGAGTAAGGAGTGATATGTTTTTTCTTGAGTTGGATGAGAGTATGACTTTGGAGAGAGTAAAGTAGACGGCAAATATTCATGTGGCGGATCGATCACTTATCATCTTTTTTATCCTTTTATCTTCTTTATCTTTCGTTTTCCATCATTTGCAATGGAGCCAAAGATTCACTATTTTTTGACTTGAGAATATGATGGAATAAAGCAAAATGACTCACAAAACTGTCTGCGCTTCTTTGTTATGAAGCAACCGTCAGTTAATGCAAATTTCGACGCGATTTTCACCATGGGTCACCCAGAAACATTCTCTCTATGCTTTAGATCAGGGGTAAGGGTGCGTACATCCGACCCCCTTACCCCATCGTAGATGGGAGCCTTTGCGGCACTGGAGTAATGATGATGATGATCTTCTTTATCTTTCTTATGTTTTTATCCTTTTATCATTTTTATTCTATATTTTTTTATCCTTTTTATCTTATCAATTTTTCTCTAACTTATACTTTTATATTTATCTTTATTGTATCTTTTTATGTTTTATCACACTTTATCAAGTTATATTTTTTATCTTTCTTTTCCTTTTGTCACCGATATCATGTATCGATTCGTGTTAGCCGACCTCAAAATCTTTTGGGACTAAAGCTTGAATTTTGTTGTTGTTGTTAAGAAAAATAACAATATACTACATAACTGTATATAACAATCTTACTTGTGGTGTGAAGTACATAGCCTGGCTCCCTTGAGAGTTCTATGACAGCTCCACGAGGTATCTTTATTTCATCTCTGAACTGGGAAGTGAACCTGAAAAAACATATTGGTACTTTGGCCTTTAGGTTATATTTGGATATCGTAAAATGCTAACGAAACGAAAGAAAGTTCTAAGTTTTTTCCTTATGCTTAGATTTACCTATGAAATGCAAAGTAAAACAAAAAATAATTAATAATTTTATTATTTTTAAATATGTTTAGGCTGCTTAGTACTACACACAGGGCGTAGCTAGGGAGGGGCCAACCCTGGCCCCGGCCCAGCCCAAGTTTAAAAAATGTCTACATTTTTAAGGTAAAAAATTCCGTGTAAAATTTTTTCAAAAAATATTCCTTGTACCGGCCCAGCCCGGCCCAGTGTCCTGCCTCCGACCCTGACTACACATATGTATAAATAAAAAGAATTCAAACCAATACTAAAAATAAATTTATTGTGTTTGAAGAGTTAGAACAAATATACTCTTCCTCAACATGTATTTTCTTCCAAATTTCTCCTATATTTTATTCCGTGTTATCTTTGCCATCCATCTTTTAGTCATCTTGTTGTTATGAGTGACACTTTTGGTACTCATCTTTCAGAGTTGCTTCAGTAAGTGAACGACTAAGAGTGTCACTATCATAATCATTGATCAGAGGATTATAAGTGGAAAAATTCAATGATGGGTAACAAGAGTGCTTTGTTTGACCACAGTTGAAAAAATTCAAAGATTAGTACACAATAAAGTGTAAAAGGCTCCTCATTCATACAAGTCAAAATATTTACACACAGAAAAGCATGGTAACACCGGATTGCAAAACGTATATACCTTTGAAGCAATTCTTTGTTATCAGAGCCACCAAACTTTTGTAGCCTGCTTCCAACAGACTCTTCAAAAGCACTGCGCACAGACCGGATGTTTAGTCTTCCATACACTATCTGCAGTCTAACTGTAGTTCGTATGTCCTTGTCCATGAGTTCATCCTTCAACTCCTTTTCCTTAGACTCAGAACCAGAAAGTGTATCATATTTCTCTTTGAGGATGTTCTGTACATCATCATCATTGGCATACACCCCTACATGAGTAATACCACAGTCCCAACTCTAAATTAGGTCAAATCATGACTGAAATTTATGATTTTATGGGAAATAATTTTAAATAACAATACCCGTAGGCCTCTAAATATGTACTTCACAAATCACTTTCAATAATACTGTCTATTTGAATCTATAATAGATCATAGATGGGATATCGAGCAACTTTTCAACTACAGATTTGATCATTTAACCAACCACAAACTTATATTAAATCATCAAAAAGAACTTTATTTAAAAACAAGCTTTATGCCTTCATGTATCACATTTGTTCTATATTCAAATGGCTGGTATTATCGAAAACGATTTTTTAAGTACTCCCTCAGTCTAAATATGTTTGTCCTCTCTCGTTTTTTGCCCATCTCATTAAGTTTGCCTTGTACCAGACATGTTAATATATGTGTGGTACTATTGTGTTCTTTCTTTATTCTGATTTTATCAATTAATATTAACCACATGAACCATCTTTTCTTAATAACCACACCACATCCGTCTCTAACTTTAATAGGACGAATGATGCTTTTTATTATTGGTTTACATGTACTAGCAAGTATGATTTAAAATTAATTTTCCTAATTTTATTAGTTGGGAACAAATATATTAGGAGATTTATCAGCTTATCATTTTTAATTGAATTCTACTCTCCACTAAATTTCACATTTGAAAAAAACATGATACCGGATAAAGATGTTTTTCTGATTTCAATCTCAGATCATATCAGATAAGATTTACACAATAATAAAATACACTTAAATCAAACACTTATCGGACCTGACTATATAGACTTAAAAAAATCAGACCTACTATATCAGATCAGGAAATTTATCCAATTGAAAACATGCTAAATATTATACCGGATAAATGTAAAGATCAACATAAAACTTGAAGTGGTAATACAAATTGTCTAAAATGATCTCAAACAGAATCATGAACAATGTCAATAAAATATATAAATATTAAAAATACAAAAACATTTCGAGAAATACCCATAAGAATCTAAACAAATCCAAAATAAGGAGGATCACTACTCTCATTAAATCTTTTCTTAAAAAACACGGAAATGTAATTCCAAAGTACTTATGTCTCCATTAGAATACTGGAGATAATAATGATAATATAGTTAACATCACTTGAGAACTTCGATCCGATTCAGCTGGGAAGAGCTGAAATGATTGGTGCTAAAAGTTGAGTACTATTAAGTTTCTATTCCTCTAGCTAGAGATGCCTACAGAAAAAGAGAGCTATACGAAAGAAGAAGAAGAAGAAGAAGTGGAAGAAATATAGGAATCATAACAATGCCGTACCAAAAGCATATACATCGATGTTCTTCAACCCCAGAAAGGCCTTCTTCCTCAACCCAATTCCAAGAAGTCGCTGAGAGTCTTTCAGAACGGAAGGGAATGACATACCGGTCCTCGATTCCGTAACAGGGTCCGAGCTATCAGAGAGAGAAAGGGAGCCCCAGACCCGGCAAGAGGACATTTTGTTGTGTGAGAAATTCAGTGGGTTGTTGTGAGTGATCTGCAAGATTGCAACCGTACCGCCGAGAGCAGCGGCAGCAGAATATGCGGCGGCGGTTTGGTAGAAGGGGCGGGAGGGTTGACTCGGTGGCTGAGAAAACAAGAGTGGGAACCGCAGGGAAGCCATAGCTGCTGTTGCCGCTTGTTTAGTTGAGGCAGTGAAACAATGTGATCTACGAGGAAAGCATGTGGTTTGGATCAAGAGTTTAGTCATGATTTAGGATGTTTCGGTTAGGGAGAGCACCTGTCGGGTTCGGTAGGGTCAGGTTTATAAACTGTGAACCCGTTCGGGTATGGGGTAATATTTTACAACCCAATCCTTAAAGAAAATGGTAAAAATATTTCGGATATTTTCATTTTTGGATTCGGTCGGATATGGTTCGGATTTCGGATATTTCGGATATCCAAACTTGAGTCCCGCTTCGTGTAGACGCCGGGTTACACGCCGGGTCCGATCAAATTGTCTGTATACACACAATTTAACGGTTAGACAGACAATTTGACCGGCGTTTTAGGATGAAAATTGATTTCCATACAGACAAAATATAAAGAGTTGTGTGTATCACAAACATTTTAAACTTAATTTTTTCATAAAGTGTCTGTGATACATACATTTTTTTATTTTTGTCTGTGTGAAAATCGGGTTTCTTCGTAAATCGTCGCTCAATATGTCTGTGCAGCCGATCAAATTGTCTGTACACAGACAATTTGACAGGCGTGTAACCCGGCGTGTAAAAATTGGCGTGTACAAAAGGAATTTTCCTCCAAACTTTTGTAATAAACTACTAATCTACCAAACAGTTTAGTCATTTTGACATTGGATGAAAAGTTATAACACAAATACACAATGAACAAAATGTACACAATATATAACTTACATAACTACATAAGGCCTTAGACCTTATGTTTAAGGGACATAAGTGTTAAGTGTTTAAGTGTTAATACACTGGGGAATACACAAATACACAATAAGAGTTTGAGTGATAAGTGCTTAACACATAACAAAAGTGACAAAAATTACACAATATAAGGGGCATACCCCAGTTCATAAAGCAAGACACTTAAAAGTTTTCAAAACATAACAAAATAATCATAACACAAATTGACAAAACACTCTGTAAGCGCTCGTTCAACTCCTTTATACTGACTTTAAACTAGAACCTATAAAAAATACAAAAAAAGTCATTAAGTACATATCAAGCATCTAAACAAACAATACTGTAAAAACTGTATTCATCACACTCTCATGCATAAAAATTGGCTTAGATAGCTGATTTTCAAATCATATTTTGTATGAGGGCATATTATATCAAGTAAATGACGGCAACTATTGTAATTATTGTTACCTAGCCAAAACTTAACAGAACACCAACCCATGACAACTTAGTTTGTTGTGGAAGCTTCATCATAGCCAAGTAAATGATTGAAATGATAAAGGAAGAATAAGCTTGTATTACCATTACACAATTAACAAGTTGCATAGGCTCAGATAGCTTATTTTCGAATTCAAATTTTGAATGGGGGAATAAACATTTGAAGTAAATGGCTGCAACTATAGTTACCTAGCCATCACTTAAAACACAACACCAACCCATCAAAAATCAGTTTATTGTGAAAGCTTCATCATAGCCATTAGCCTATTACCCAATAAATGATTGAAATGATTAAAGGAGAATAAGCCTGAATGGTACATTATATGTAAAACAATAATAAAAAATAAATATATTGACCTCTTTCCAGCCTTTGCACTTCATCTATATTTTCTTCAACTGAGATAGGGAGGTTTTGATTTCTTAGCCAATCTTGAGTAGAGATTAAAGCTTTCACAATTTTTGGACTTAATGAACTTCTGAAACAGTCCAACACTCTGCCACTAGTACTAAAAGTGGACTCAGAAGCAACAGTAGAGATTGTAACAACTAGAATATCTCAACCATTTTTGAGAGGATAGGAAACCTCTCACTGTTTAACTTCCACCACCTTAAAATGTCAAAATATGTATCCTCTTCAATTATGGCCTCACGCAAGTACATTTCCAATTATCTTTGTTTCAAACCCAACTGCCCCGCCTAAAACTTTTATTTTTTAAGATGGGCTTTGAATTTGGAGACAGGTCTAGCAGACACAGGCTCTAATTGTGTGTGAGAGGCAGTTGAGATTGAAATAATGCTTCCAGTACCAGAATCAGAGTAGTTGGACACATAATCATTAAATAACTCATGCAAAGCAAGCTTGATTTTTTCAAAGAACTTCACACCCTTTGGTTGAGTATAAAGGGCATTTAGTTGAAAAAGCATGTATTCAAGCTTGTCCCTTGGGTCAAGCACATTTGCAAAAAAGATCAGATAGTTCATTTTCTCTGGGTCCCCTCAATATTTATCCAGTTTAGATTTCATAGTAGAGCTCATTTTACTCGTGGAAGTCTTAGGAGACTTCATCATGTCTTGAAGCACCAGAAACAAATCAGAAATTTCAGAGAAAAAAGTATTGAAAGTAACATACAAAGATCTAGAAATCCTTAAGATCATCTCATAAAAACTTTCAATAACTGACACTAAGGATTCACAATTCAGCCAATCACCAATATCAGGCACTTCTGCACCTAAATCAGACCCATAACAACTCTCATTCTCCTCATATTCTTCAAAAACTCTTTCATTGGATAATGCTGACTTCAACATCAGATAGGTGGAGTTCCACCTAGTTGGGAAATCTAGGTGCAAGCCACATTTGGACTCTACTCTTATCAAATCCGATATATCCTTGAATTTTTGGAGCCTAGAAGTAGAATTCCTAACATACTTCACTGCTTCCCTAACCCTCACTACAGATGTATCAGCATCTTTCAACCCATCTTGGACTGCCAGATTCAAGATGTGAGCAATACATCTCATGTGTAGGTACTTGACTATAACAAGAGAAGCACCCCATGACAGAAGCTTTTTCTTTAAAAATCCTATTGCAGTATAATTACTGCTTGCATTATCAACAGTCACAGAGAATATATTTTTCAATCCCCACTCTAATAAGCAAGTTTCTAGGGCCTTGGCAATGTACTCTCCTTTGTGGGAAGTCATGTGCACAAAAGAAATCACCTTCTTCTGTAGCTTCCACTGATTATCTATGAAATGAGTAGTAATACACATGTAGTTGATCCTCTGAATAGAGGTCCATGTGTCAGTTGTTATACTGACTGATAATCATGTAATTTCCATGTGTATGTTTGTATTTTTAATTAGTTTTGATTAATTTTTACTTTGGAAATTACACACTTTTGGTGCAATAGTTTAGTTTGTTAAATTCTTGTAAATTGTTTAGATAAGGTTCATTCTGAGCGCAAACAGGTCTTGATCACTCAAAGGACAGTTGGTGAACCCCAAAAGTGGAAGAAAGGTGCATAATCTCAAGAGAAGATAGGATCCTGAATTTTTGGTCTATACCCGGTCGGGTATCATCTATACTCGATCGGGTATCTTGTTGAAACTTCAAATCGGATCGGATCCGAAGACAAAGGAACATGCAGGGAAGATTTTGACCACGATCGAGTGTCTATACCCGATCGGGTAGACCGACATAGCCGATCGGGTATGCCTTTGAAATTAACCCCAAATCCGGTCGAGTATAGCCCGAATACCATTTGCTACACATACTCGATTGGGTATAAAAGCACACCCGATCGGGTATACCTATAGAATATAGCCTATAATCGATCGAGTATACCTCGAATCTGGCATTTTACACATACCCGATCGGGTACCGTGTATATACCCAATCGGGTACCCGAGCTGCATCCCAAGAGCCTATAAATACACCCCCTTTCCTTCACAATTAGATATCCAATTCCTACATACTTCTAAGCTCAGTCTAGAATAGTTCTTTCTTTATATTTTCTTCATGTTTAGTCTCCAAATGAGAAGCTAAACTCTTCCATCTTGGTTTTGCTACTTTGAAGCTTAATGATTTGTAAGTTGTGAGTTATTTTCTTTAACCTTTTTCCTTGAATATTAATTACTTCCTATACATATTCCATATTAGTATTTGGAGCATTACTTTAAAGATCAACTAGTTTTGCTTCATCTATTAATTATTACTAGAATCAATCGGTTAATATGCTTGTTATTAATCCGGTTCCTTCAAAGGTAGTAAACTTGGATTGTTAATGCATGCATCTCATGGTTAACAAACCAAGGGGAATTAATTATATTGATTAAACCAATAAACCGATTGTGTTGATGTTATCAATCTCAATCGTTTTCATTTTAAGCTTATCGCTACTATCGAATTAATATACGGCGCTTGTTCTATATTGACTCGATAGTAAGTTTTATTAATGAACGTATCTCGTTATTAGTAACTACCCACGATGAATTGGATATACTCCTCGATTGAGTATTCGAGAGGAAGATAGTTAAAGATATAACTGGGATCGACGAACATTTCATTAAGTGAATAAAAGCAAAACCAAGTCCACATCTCTATTAATTAAACCACATAAGTCGTTCATCTTAGTATTTAAATTTACTTCAAATTCAACAACAATCAACCCCCCCTTTGTTACTAATTATATAAAAGAAAAGTATTCCTTTCCCTGTGGATATGAACCTTACTTCGTTATACCACGTATATTCATTGTATTGTATTTATTTTGAGTGCACCTCATGACAAGTGCACGTCAAATTTGGCGCCGTTGCCGGGGATTGGCAATAATTTTTCTTTTATTTCATTTCAAGAAAAGTCAAAAAAATAAAAAATATAATGCGGTGCCTATCCTTTTAGGGAGACCATTTTTAAAAACCGCTAGAGCAAAGATTGATGTCTTTAGCGGATCTTTAACAATGGAATTTGATGGAGATAAGGTTGAATTCAACATTTATGACTCCATGAAATACCCAAATGAAAATTATTCTTTGTTTGCCATTGATGTTATTGATCCTCTTGTACAAAACACGTTTGAAATAAATGGAGAGGATGAACTGTTGAGCATAATTGAGAATGATTTGGGGGTAAACTCTTTAGAACTTGCCTTGACCCCCAACACACAAGCCATGATGGTGGAATTGGATAACCATTTCCAACTTCCACTTATGCCACCGGGGTCAAGAGCATTTCCACTAACCATCCCCGAAGAGAAGCCTTTGCCTTCTATTTTGCAGGCCCCCGAAGTTGAAATGAAGCCACTCCCAAAACACTTGAAATATGTGTTCTTGGGAGAAAAAGAAACCTTGTCGGTCATAATCTCAAACAAACTGACCGGAGATCAAGAAGGCAAGTTGATAGCGGTGCTCAAGGAGCACAAACTAGCAATTGTATGGACTATAGCCGACATCAAAGGCATTAGTCCATCTACATGCATGCACCGCATCTTGATGGAGGATGAAGCTAAGCCGATGCGACAGCCGCAAAGAAGATTAAACCCACCGATGATAGAGGTGGTCAAAAAGGAAGTCATCAAGCTACTTCAAATGGGGATAATCTTCCCCATTTCCGATTCAAAGTGGGTTAGTCCAACCCAAGTTGTTCCCAAGAAGACCGGAGTCATGGTGGTGGAGAACAAAGATGGAGAACTTATGCCCACTCGGATTCAAAACGGATGGAGGGTATGTATAGATTACCGTCGACTCAATGCGGTAACTAGAAAGGATTTCTTTCCTTTGCCCTTCATTGACCAAATGCTTGAGAGACTTTCCGGGCATAAGTTCTATTGTTTTCTTGATGGCTACTCCGGGTATTTTCAAGTGCCCATAGCCCCTGAAGATCAAGAGAAGACCACCTTCACTTGTCCATTTGTCACCTTTGCATACCGACGTATGCCATTTGGACTATGCAATGCCCCGGCCACGTTTCAAAGATGCATGATGAGCATATTCTCCGAATATGTTGAACTATTTATGGAAGTTTTTATGGATGATTTTACAATCCATGGAGACTCATTTGATTCATGCTTACTCCATCTATCTCTTGTTTTGAAAAGTTGTTTAGAATCAAATCTTGTTCTAAACTCTGAAAAATGCCACTTTATGGTGGAGGAAGGAATTGTTTTAGGTCATGTGATCTCATCCAAAAGGATAGAGGTAGATAAGGCCAAAGTTGAAGTTATCCAATCACTCCCTTATCCTACTACCGTTAGGGAGATACGGTCATTTCTTGGACATGCAGGTTTCTATCGGAGATTCATCAAAGACTTTTCAAGGATTGCATCTCCTTTGTGCACACTTTTGCAAAAGGAGGTGGAGTTTATCTTTTCCGAGGAATGCAAGAAGGCCTTCAACACTTTGAAGGAGATGCTAGTTACTGCCCCCATCATTCAAGCACCCGATTGGTCTCTTCCTTTTGAGATCATGTGTGACGCTAGCGATTATGCGGTAGGAGCCGTCTTGGGCCAAAAGGTTGGAAGGGCCTCTCATGTAATCTATTATGCATCCACCACCCTCAATGACGCCCAATGCAACTACGCCACCACCGAAAAAGAAATGTTGGCCGTCGTCTATGCACTTGAAAATTTCAGGTCATACTTACTTGGAAACAATGTGATCATTTACACCGATAACGCAGCTCTTAAAATCTTGATGATGAAGAAGGAGGCCAAGCCAAGGATAATTCGATGGATACTCCTTCTAAGCGAGTTCGACGTCGAAATCAAAGACAAGAAGGGCATGGAAAACTTGGTGGCCGACCACTTGAGCCGACTCGTTCTTGATGAAGGGAATGATCATGCAAAAGACGATATCCGAGGGGAATTTCCTGATGAGACCCTTTTTGCTCTAAAGGAAATTCACCCTTGGTATGCTCACATTGTTAATTTCCTTGTCCTAAACAGGTTCCCACCAAGCTTCTCCAAATATCAAAAAGAGAAACTCCAACATGACGCCAAACAATATGTGTGGGATGAACCTTATCTTTGGAAGCGTTGCAAAGATCAAGTCATTAGAAGATGCATTCCTGAGAACGAGATGGCCTTCATCCTTGCATTTTGCCATTCACACGCTTGGGGAGGACACTTTGGAGGCAAGCGAACATCAATGAAAGTACTTGAATGCGGTTTTTGGTGGCCAAGTTTATTTCGAGATGCCCATGTCTTTTGTCAAGCTTGTGACAACTGCCAACGCATGGGAAAAATCTCTCGGAAACATGAGATGCCTCAAGTCCCGATGCTCTATGTGGAAATATTTGATGTATGGGGAATAGATTTCATGGGACCTTTTCCGAACTCCCATGGAAACCTATATATTCTCTTGGCAGTGGACTACGTGTCAAAATGGGTGGAAGCAAAAGCCACCAAGACCGATGATGCCAAAGTAGTGACGAACTTCCTCAAAACCCGCATCTTCTCAAGGTTTGGAGTTCCACGAATTCTAATCAGCGACAGGGGCACTCATTTCTACAACAAAACTGTGAGTGCTTTGTTAAAGAAATATGGCGTCACTCATAAACTCTCCACCGCCTACCACCCACAAACAAACGGCCAAGTCGAAGTCTCAAATAGGGAGCTGAAATATATACTCCAAAAGACGGTGAATCCCAACCACAAAGGTTGGAGTCTTCGCATGGATGATTCCTTATGGGCATATAGGACCACTTTCAAGACCCCAATTGGCATGTCACCCTATAGACTCGTGTTCGGGAAGGCCTGTCATCTCCCGGTTGAACTCGAACATAAGTCCTATTGGGCGGTGAAAACACTGAATCTTGACATGGAACAAGCAGGGATCCAAAGGAAGCTGCAACTACAAGAGCTAGAGGAGCTCCGACTTGAGTCCTATGAGAACGCCGCCATCTACATGGAGAAGACGAAGGTATGGCATGATAAAATTATAACAAGAAAGGACTTCCAGATTGGAGACAAAGTCCTTCTTTTTCTATCACGCCTTCGTCTTTTCCCCGACAAACTGAGATCACGATGGGAAGGACCATTCGAGGTGGTCAAAGTCTACCCCCACAGAGCGGTTGAAATAAAGAGCCTCGACACCGGCAAAATCTTCAAGGTCAATGGACATCAACTCAAACCGTTCCTTGAAGGTTTCCAAAAAGAAGGCGTTGAATGCATGGATCTCTTTGATCCAATCTATGAAGAATGAACACAACCATGACGTCGTGCCGCGACGTTAACTAAGGCGCTTCTTGGGAGGCAACCCAAGCAAGGTACGTGATTTTTTATTTCCCTGTCAAACTTCCAGTTTCTGTTTTGAGAGGGTGAGAGAGAGGGCACTAATGGCATGTTTTGGAAAAAAAGGGAAAGTGCAGTTTTTGAAGTTTCTGGGGACATACCCGATCGAGTACCACTATACACCCGGTCGGGTGTGGCTAAAAAAGGGGAACCGAATCACTACTCGATCGAAGGAGAGTAATTTTTTCAAAAATCTATGTATACCCGATCGGGTACAAATACATACCCGGTCGAGTATACATAGAAAGGCAAAGCTAAAAGGAACCTGCCCTGGACACTTGATCGAGTACGGGGTTCAAATATTGCAAAAGGGAGAATACTCGATCGGGTATCACTACACACCCGGTTGAGTATGTTCAGAAGGATGAAGCCAAATAGAACCTGCTCCCAACACTCGACCGAATACAGGGCTCAAAATGTGAAAAAGAAACATACCCGATCGGGTATGACTATACACCCGATCGGGTATTGCTGGAAATTCAAAAGCCCAAACAAGCTGTCTCCAGTACCCGATCGGGTATGGAAAGATACTCGGTCGAGTATCGCTGGAAAACCGAAGTTCTGAACACACTGTCTTCAGTACCCGATCGGGTATCGCACCATACTCGATCGGGTATACCTGCGTTTTAACCCCAAAACAGCCCGAATCACTTCATCTTCCCCAATTTCCCAACCCAATTTTCGAACCCCTCCTCCCCAAACTCCATTTTCGAACCTTCTCTCTACCATATTTCCCTCATTTCTCCATCAAATCACCCCATTCTTCCACCAAAATACTCCCCTCACCTTCCTCCACACACCCATACCCATAAACCCAATTTTCCCCCAAATTCAAAAGGTCCGAAAAACCCTACCCCCAAATTTTAATTCTCGGATTTTGAGCACTCAAATCACCACAATGGCACCAAGGAAGGACAAAGGGCAGAGCTCAAGGACTATGGAACCCATCCCGGGCTACGAGAACCTCATTTTCGCCGACAACAAACACCGAGCTCGGTTCATCGCTACAATTACAAGGCAAGTAAAACCTTCTCGTTTCTTATGCCATAATGCTCTCCGTGAACTAGGCATTTACAGTAGTACCAAGCAATTCTTTCGTGAGTTGGACATGAACCCCATTTTCAAAATGAAATACAACTCTAACGAAAGAATTGTCTATGAATTCATGAGCTCGGTGAAGTTTGAGAACGATGAGGCCGATTTTAGAGATGATAAACTCACATTTCGTTCGTTTAACCACACCTATTCAATAACGAAACATGAGTTTGCTGAACATTTTGGCATCCCCGTCCCCTACGAAAAAGCCATCTTCGACAACACCATTTTCGGTCATTCACTGTGGACCAAGATGACCGGAGAAGTGAACTTTAGCTCCTCCCAATTGTATATTAGTCATGTCCAACACCCCATACTCCGATTGTTCTTGAATTTTTTAGCAAACTGTTTGCTTGGGCGCCCCAACAATCACCACACTAGGATGGGGGATGTGTGCTTTGTCGGTGGCTCTATTCCGTCGTCATGTGGACTTTAACCTGTGCAATCTCATGTGGGCGCATTTGAAAAAGGAAAGCATAGCGAGGGGGGTAATTGTTTTGGGTGGGGTGGTTATGCACTTGGAAAGTAAGTTCGGGTATACGAATAACTCTCCTATACCCGATTATTGTTTGATGGACATGGCTTGGTTAGGCCATTCGGGATGCACAGCTTTTTCTCACACGTTCTATGGTGGTGACCAACCAAAGAACATGTATAACTGGCTCATACACCCCAACCCTATCAAACATTTCCTCATGCCTAGCCCAGAGCTTCCCAAACTACTCTACAAATTAGAGGGAGAGGTGCCCCATTACCTATTCCCACACGCCCTTCCACCACATCTCCAAGAATCGGAACAAGAGCCACTCCAATACCAACCCGAGTACGAGCCTTATGCCGGACCCCATGGTCATGAAGACATGGACGCAGACATCCCCGAGCAACCTCAAAACCCTCCACCACCCAACTTCTTCCAAAAACTTTTGGAGGGTCAACAACAACTACTTGCGGGGTACAACCAAATGAACACAAACTACATGGCCATGGGAGAACGGCTCAACCAAGTGCAGGAGGAACAAAGGGCAGGTTTTCAACGGATGGAGGAGCTCCGGGAAGCCGACAAGCATCGGTATGAAGAGGATCAACGTAGGCTCTACGGACCTATGTACTCTTACATCGCCCATCAAGGATCCTTTCAGACTATGGTGAGCCCCCCTCCACCACCCTCGTGGTATGACCCCACTCATTGGGGTAACTTTGGAGGATCTAGCTCCGGAGGTGGAGGGTATGATGGAGGAGATGGCGGGGATGGTGGCACCGGTGGCGGATTTGATAGCAGTTTTAGGGGCGGTTTCAGAGGCAACTTCTATGGCGGAGAAGGCGGGCACTAGGGACAGTGCTTGGACTAAGTATGGGGGAGAGACTCCTCATGGTATGTAATTTTATTTCTTACCTTTCACTACACATTAATTTCTTTTACCCTTGATACACAAAAAAAGAACTAAATAAAAGAAAAGAAATGCTAGTTAGGTTGAAAACCCAACAAAAATGGGCAATCTAAGCAAAAACGGCTTATAAAAAAATGAGTGAGTTGGGGAGAATGGAAAATAAAAAGAGATGTTAGGATGAAAACCTGAAAACGCTCCTAGGCAAAATGAGAGATATGAGAGATATGAGAGAAATATTTGTTTTTGCAGACACTCATTTGATCTCTTTGGAGAATAAGAAGATTCAAGAAGAAGTAGAAGAGAGGAGAAGAACAGAAGATGAGCACTAGAAGGCCATAAAAACTCAAGATGATATTTGTATGTTGTGCTTAAAAACTCATGTTTTATCCTTGGTGGTCTTATGTTTTTATCTTGTTAAAATTGTTGAAACTGTGAAAAACTTGACACTTATGAACATTTAACTTTACTCGAGGACGAGTGCAGAAACTAAGTGTGGGGGAGTTGATAATCATGTAATTTCCATGTGTATGTTTGTATTTTTAATTAGTTTTGATTAATTTTCTTTGGAAATTACACACTTTTGGTGTAATAGTTTAGTTTGTTACAATGTTGTAAATTGTTTAGATTAGGTTCATTCTGAGCTCAAATAGGTCTTGATCACTCAAAGGACAGTTGGTGAACCCCAAAAGTGGAAGAAAGGTGCATAATCTTGAACCCCAAAATTCTGAGCTTCATCTATTAATTATTACTAGAATCAATCGGTTAATACACTTGTTATTAATCCGGTTCCTTCAAAGGTAGTAAACTTGGATTGTTAATGCATGCATCTCATGGTTAACAAACCAAGGGGAATTAATTATATTGATTAAACCAATAAACCGCTTGTGTTGAGGTTATCAATCTCAATTGTTTTCATTTTATGCTTATCGCTACTATCGAATTAATATACGGCGCTTGTTCTATATTGACTCGATAGTAAGTTTTATTAATGAACACATCTCGTTATTAATAACTACCCTCGATGAACTGGATATACTCCTCGATTGAGTATTCGAGAGGAAGATAGATAAAGATATAACTGGGATCGACGAACATTTCATTAAGTGAATAAAAGCAAAACCAAGTTCTCATCTCTATTAATTAAACCACATAAGTCGTTCATCTTAGTATTTAAATTTACTTCAAATTCAACAACAATCAACCCCCCCTTTGTTACTAATTATATAAAAGAAAAGTATTCCTTTCCCTGTGGACACGAACCTTACTTCGTTATACTACATATATTCGTTGTATTGTATTTATTTTGAGTGCACCTCACGACAAGTGCACGTCAAATTTGGCGCCGTTGCCGGGGATTGGCAATAATTTTTCTTTTATTTCATTACAAGAAAAGTAAAAAAAAAGTATATAAATAAAATATAAAGAGTTCTTATTTTTTCTATTTCTGAGCTTTGAAGTATATGGTTAAATATCGTTCGCTGAACGAAATCACCTACCAATCAAACCCCGAAATAGATGAGAGGCTCAGCTTCTCATCTAGATATATTTGGTAAATGTCCCTAGCAATAGTCCACCTAGAAGGTACAACAAACCTTGGACATGCTACGGAGACAAACTTTCTAAACCCCTACCTCTCAACAAACCTAAAAGAAACTCATCAATTAGTATCATTTCTGCAAGAGCTCTCCTTATTAGAGTTTGGTCAAACACCCAGGTCCCTATAACCCCAGTAGTTTCTGGAGAGGTGTTTTGAGTACTAACAACTGCTTGGAAGGTTAACAGGGCTTGTCTTGTTTCTTTAGAGTGGGTATTTTTTAGCTAACTAAGCATGTGATTTCTCAGAGAAGAAGTTTCATGCCTTTTGGACTCACAACAGTACACCTTACCACAATATATACATCTCCACTTCACAAGGACTCCCTTGCTATCATACATTTTGTGAAAGTGTTCTCATATCTTGGATCTAGGTTCAACTTGTTTCTTCTTTTGTCCACAACCAGCAGTTGAAGCAATCTACTGAGTGTTTTGCTCTACATTCTGAGCTTCCACTGCAGGTTGTTAAGCTAGAGGAGGTTGAGCACCAAATACATATATGTCTGGGGATTCCATCTATAAACCATTACATGAAACTTAGGGACTTTTGCATAGCTTCCACTATCAAAATTCAGAAAGAACAAGCAATCATTCTTTCATCATCAATCATTCATTCTTCTTAGGGGCCATAGTCACTCTTTTGTATACAGAGTTCTCAACACATGAAATCATTCCCACTATCTCAATTAAGGCAGCTATGCATGCATAGAAATCAAGTCTGGAACAATCACTAAGGTGATTTACAGAATAGTATAAGCGGTAGGCTTAACCATTCTCTACAGACTTAGAAGAACCAGTTAACTCTAACTACTCAGCTTGAGTGTTTGAGTCGATCAGGTAACTTCTACAACAACAATAACCAACATGTAATAGGCAACATATATACACACAACCTTACACAGCTTTCATTATCAGAATTCAGAAAGAACAAGCAATCATTCTTTTATCATCAATCATTCATTCTTCTTAGGGGCCACAGTCACTCTTTTGTATACAGAGTTCTCAACATATGAAATCATTCCCACTATCTCAATCAAGGCAGCTAGGCATGCATAGAAATCAAGTCTGGAACAATCACCAAGGTGATTTACATAATCGTATAAGCAGTAGGCTTAACCATTCTCTACAGACTTAGAAGAACCAGTTAACTCTAACTACTTAGCTTGAGTGTTTGAGTCAATCAGGTAACTTCTACAACAACAACAACAACCACATGTAATAGGGAACATATATACACACAACCTTACACAGCTTCCACTATCAAGCAAAAACATATCCATAATTCATACATAAATACAGACAGTCAGACATACAGTTCCGGACAAGCATGCCCACAATTCAATCCTCACTCCTCAATATTCATGTAACACAAACACTGAAATAACCTATCACACATACATCATTTTGACTTCCACAGTTTGACATTCAAGGCTGCTCGGAGTCACACAATAAACAACAACTCACAAGTCACAACCACAATTTACACACTCTTCATGAAGTAGAGAATAGAAGTTATACCTCACGCTCGAGTGTGAGTGTGTGACTGATATGAGAGAGTGGGAGACTGAGACTGAGCAGTGACCTTAGTTTTACTGGAAAAGGGGCAGTCCTTCCACTGTTCAACGTTCGACGACTCTAAGGTTTAACCTTCAAACCAAGAAGCGTGTGAGAGAGAGTGACAGACATAAGGTGAGAGTAAAGATAGAAGACTGCGGCCTGAGTAACAGACTGAGACTCTGAGACTCACCGTCTCACAGTCGAAGTACGGAGACCGGAGATATGAAGTGGTCAGCGAAGAGAGTTATTAGAGATTCAGAGTAGAGAGATAGAGAAGTAGGCGGAAGTGGGTTAGGGTTTATTAGGAGAGTATATATATAAATATATATGGGCTGTGTAGTGGGCTGGGTCTTTCGAGTTTTCGGACGGGTTGGATGGGTTAAATCCTAATCCTACCCGGCCCACTAATAATTATGGATAATGCAGGCGGGTTTTCGGGTTTGCTGTTCGGGTCGGTTGACCCTACCTGATCGGGTAATATCTGAAATATCCAGTCGGGTATTCGGGTTACGTCGGGTTTTGCTCAGCCCTAGTTTCGGTGACCTATTTAAGTCTGTTATGGTCTAGTCTAATTTGAATTGATCTGATCTGTTAAATGTTGGTTTTTGTGTATTTTATATTTGTCCAAGTCTAGCCTGTTGTGGTCTGGTCATGGTCTAATTAAGTATGGTCTGGTTTGATTTGGTCAGGTCTGGGACTGAAAACAAACGAAAAGAAAACATCCTTTGATAAAATCAGGCACTGTCAAGATCAAATTAAACTCAAACAGATCAGATCAGAAGAAATTTAAATGATGTAGACAAGACCAGACTTTGACTATAATTTGCTGGTCTGGTCTGACCTATTTAAGCCTGGTATTGTCTAGTCCAATTTGAATTGATCTGATCTGGTAAATGTATGGTCTTTGTGTATTTTATAATTGTCCAAGTCTGGTCTGTCCTGGTCATGGTCTGATTAAGTATGATCTGGTCTGTTTAAGTCTGATTTGGTCTGATTTAATCTGGTCTGGGACGGAAAACATTCAAAAGAAAACATCCTTTGGTATGATCAGGCACTATCAAGATCAAATTAAACTTAGACATATCAGATCAGAACAAATGTAAATGATGTAGACAAGACCAGACTTCGATAGTGAGGAAAGAGTAAAATACTCACCTATCAGACTAGATTATACCACACACACCAAGTTTAAACAGATCAGCCTAGACAAAAAAATTTCTTTCCGTTTAAAGATATCCATAAAACTATGATGTTTTAATTGGATCTGTTTCCGTTGAGGTTAGATCAAATCATACCAAATCAAATCAATTTTAAAACATGTATAATATGTAGTATGTATACTTAATGCATTATACTAACACAATGCATTAAGTATGTGGTACTATTTAACCTGAAATTTACAAACATTTCCAATTTCACTCTGGACACGTGTAGAAATTGATCCAATCGTTTCTTTCTGTATTTACTTCCGTTTAAAGTGTTTTCTATAATGTTGGAAAGATCTTATCGAGTTCTAAAACTCGATTTCATGCATTTGTTTCAAAATATTACAGGAAAACTATCTAGTGAGCTGAATTTCAAATCCCAGACTGTATTTACGTTAAAAATGCTTTAATTACATAGAAAACGTTAATTCACACAGATCAGAGTTAGTATTTGTGACATTCATATCTTATTGTATGTTCTTTCGTTTCAAGCGTATTATATCTCGTTGGAAAGATCATTTCGAATTCTAAAGCTATTGTTCCGAGCTGAATTTACAATGCATTAAGTATAAGGTACAAATTAACCTAAAAATCACAAACATTTCCAAATTCACTCCGAACACGTGTAGAAATTGATCTGATCATATATTGTTGTATTTAGTTCTGTTTAAAGTGTTTTCTATCTCGTTGAAAAGATATTATCGAGTTTTAAAACTTATCTTCACGCGTCGATTTCCAAATATTACGGAAAGACTACCTAATGAACATAATTTCAAATCACGGACTGTATTTACGCTAAAAATGCTCAATTTAATATACGTTGAAAACATTAAATCACAGAGATCAGGCTTAGTATTTGTGACACTCATATGTTGTTGTATGGTCTTCCGTTTCAAGCGGATTATATCTCGTTGGAAAGATCATTTTGAGTTCTAAAGCTATTGTTCCAATTCCATTTACAATGCATTAAGTAAAAGGTACGGATTAACCTGATATTCAGAACATTTCTGATTTCACTCCGAACACGTGTAGAAATTGATCTCATCATATCTTGTTGTATTTAGTTTCGTTTAAAGCGTTTTCTATCTCGTTGGAAAGATCTTGTTAGGCATGGCAATGGGTCGGGACGGGTAGTGCAGGACCC